CATAGGTGTATCCTCCGTGCCCACCGATCAGTTCAGGCACCAGACATTCTCTTGTCGTCCTCTCAGTTTAGCAGACAACACCGCTGTCGCGAGAAGGTAGTGAGTGGGACTTCCTTGGCAGTAGTTGTATGTACGTGGCCATGTGAGGGCATTTGGAGATGGAGAGCAGACTCTCACACTCTCGGTCGTATCAGGGCATTTGGGGGCTATTTACAGACTGATAAAGTATTAACTGCTTTAAAATTGTAAATGATGCTATGTAGATCAGTGCAATCAATTTTTATCCCAACTGCAGAGACTTTTAATTACTTTAGCTGTCTCATATATACATCCAGAAAATCCAGTAACTAAAACCCTACAAACTGGTCTCAGTCAACCTTACATACCTATATACACAGATATGGATTACTTAATCTGCTACACACGTGTGTTACATTTGCTACATTCCTTTTTCCAACATATACATGACAATTTACGTTCACAAATTTCATCATTCCCTGTAATTTACACTGTCGATTCGTGTTCATGTTGATCTTAAGAATGTACACTATTGGATGCCTCGGAGCTCACTAAAATCATAAACGCTTGACATCAAAGACAGTTTGAATAGCCTTTATCCTACCTCAACCCGACCGTTGTTGCTACCTTGACGTGGTGGTCGGGCTTGCCTATCGTGATGAAGCAACCGAGCTATACTGGCTGGAACAACCGTTCCTCAAGGTCCTACCATGTCAGACAGGTCGGTTGAAGAGCGGTAAGACTAAAAGCAACAAACCTAAGGTCCGAAGGCGAAGTCGTACTGCTGACTGTACAGAGGTGTGACAGCAGTAAGGTGTTTCCTTCAGGCAACCAGCATGACAGCGATGCTGCCTTCCCACAAGGAGGGGTGGGGTTAGAAAAGGTCGACCCTAAAAATGCACACCTCACCTTACCTCACGGATTTCCGTCTCCGGCGGTAAGGCCCTTTGAAGAACGGAGCTAACATGTCAAAAACCTTCCACGGAAAGGCCGTGCGCGACCGGCCTCAAGCAGTTGTCCCTTGGGCACTGCGGTCACGCTCTCAGGTCGCCGAGACCGCCTCTAATCCAATTTCCTTTTCAGGTACCTCCAGAAGAACCCTTCCACGGTGTGGGCAACCGGGAAGTGATAACCGCCCTCATACCTCTAACAGCACCCAAGACCACTGTATTCATAATCAACCTTCCTCTTCAATTCCTATTATCCCTCCTACATCGACTTTCAACCCTAAACTTCCTCCTTCGGCTTCTTCCTCAAGTGTCACCATAGCCAACGATTCTAGTGCTCAAAACTCTGTCCCAGGTCTACTGAAACCTCGCTCCAAACTACACATTGGAGCTTTCAACGTACGCACTTTATGTCAAATCGGTCAGCAGGCTTCCTTTGCTAAAACCCTAGAGTCTCTTTCCATCGATGTATGCTGTGTCTCCGAAACACGCATACAGGATTCCAGTGTGGTCACTCACTTGACCTCACCTCGGCAAAACAAAGAGCCAACGAGATACACCCTACGTGTATCTGGTGACCCGATGGCCAGTTCTCGTGGACTGGCAGGTGTAGGCATAGCACTAAGCATGAGGGCGGAACAAGCACTGCTAGAGTGGATCCCCATCAACAGTCGTCTATGTGCTGTTCGGCTAAACGGCTCCGTAAGAACTCGGAAGGATAGGGACACACGTCGTTGCCTTTTTGTCGTTTCTGCCTACGCTCCCACTGACTGCAGCTCCGATGAAGTGAAGGATGAATTTTACAGGAAGCTTTCTGAACTTCTTCAGAAAGCTAAACGCTCAGACATAGTACTCGTAGGGGGTGACTTTAATGCGCAGATAGGTAGCTTAAACCAAACAGAAAGGCATTTAGGTGGATATTTTAGCATTCCGGCACAGCGAACAGATAATGGTGATCGTCTGCTGCAACTGTGCTCAGACAATCGCTTATTTTTAGCAAACACAAATTTTAAGCATAAGGAGAGACATCGTCTAACATGGCGACCCCCTACACCAAACCAACGATGGACTCAAATAGACCATATTGCCATCAGTCATCGTTGGAGAGGATCGGTAGAAGATTGTCGCTCATTCTGGAGTACCTGCTTGGACTCCGATCATGCCCTAATACGGGCACGCATCTGCTTGCGCCTCACCGGACGCAAAAAAGCCACATTAAAAAGACCAATTAGAACTGAATTGAGTAACGAGAAAACCAAAAATAGGTTCCAAGAACAACTGAGTTCACACTTAAGTAGTTCTGAACACGAGGCTGACCCAGATGTTGCTTGGAAAGACATACAAGCAGCTGTGGAAGCAGCAGTGACATCTATTAGCAACTTAAACCACAGAGTTTCCAAGAACCAGTGGATTTCTTCAAAGTCTATTACACTGATGGATTCTCGCAAATTCGTCCCATCAGGTTCCGAACATGATGAAGAGCGACAACAAATCAGATCTAGGTTAAGAAAAAGTTTAAGAAACGACCGTGAGCAGTGGTGGGCAACGAAAGCAAAAGAGATGGAAAAGGCGGCGACTATAGGGAACACAAGACAACTTTACAGACTAATAAAAGAAACTGGAATTAATAAGTCAAGTGTAAGTGAGATTATATCGGAAAAAGACGATACTCTCATCTGCTCTCAGTCCAGACGTTTAGAACGATGGGCGGAACACTTTAGGGAACAGTTCAGCTGGCCTTCAGCGACTCTACAACTACCCTCCATTCCCAGACAGCGTGAATGGAACATTGAAGTAGGTCCCCCAACTCTTGCTGAAGTTCAAAAGGCTATAGATAATCTGAAACGAGGAAGGGCAGCTGGACCAGATGGACTGGTTCCAGAAGTCTTTAAGGATGGTGGTCCAATTTTAGCGATTAGGTTGACTAATATTTTAGCTAAGATCTGGGAGTTAGACGTTATTCCATCTGACTGGTCACAATCACTTATCGTCCCAATATATAAGAAAGGGTCAAAATCATCCTGTGACAACCACAGAGGGATTAGTTTAACTAATATAATATCTAAAATACTAGCCTCGATAATTATCAGACGCCTAACTAAGACTCGTGAACTGCAAACACGAGAAAACCAAGCTGGTTTCAGACCTGGTCGTGGCTGCATCGACCACATATTCACCATTCGTCAGGTTCTAGAACACAGGCACACTTATCGGCGTCCGACGATGGTGGTCTTTCTTGACTTAAAAGCAGCATTTGACTCGGTAGACCGCGAGGTTCTGTGGCAGTGTCTGTCATTGAAAGGCGTACCTCAGAAGTACATAAACCTTGTGAAGGCTCTTTACTCGAACACTACTAGTCGAGTGAGAGCTTATGGCGAACTGTCATCTACTTTTGCAACCTCAAGTGGTGTCCGTCAAGGATGTCCACTTTCCCCATTTTTGTTTAACTTCATCATAGACCTACTGATGGAAATAACTTTCTCGTCGACTGAATTTTCGGGTATTGATCTCATTCCAGGAGGTCCACTTATCGACTTAGAATACGCAGATGACATAGTCCTGTTTGGTGAAGACGCTGACAAAATGCAAAGTCTTCTGGTAGCACTGAGCAACAATGCCAGAATGTTTGGAATGCGCTTCTCTCCCTCGAAATGCAAGTTGTTGCTTCAGGACTGGTCTGCGTTAACACCTGAACTAAGGATAGGGAGTGAAGTAGTCGAACGCGTTGACAACTTCACTTATCTTGGAAGTCTGATCAGCACTAATGGGTTGGTATCGGACGAAATCTCAGCACGGATTCGAAAAGCTCGTTTGGCTTTTGCCAACTTACGTCACCTGTGGCGAAGGCGAGATATCCGTCTATCAATAAAAGGACGAGTATACTGCGCGACAGTCCGTTCTGTTTTACTTTACGGTAGCGAAACATGGCCATTAAGAGTAGAAGACACTCGCAAGCTGCTAGTATTTGACCACAGATGCCTTAGAAATATTGCTGGCGTCTGCTGGGATAATCGGGTAAGTAATAGTGAGGTTAGACGCAGGGTATTAGGAAAGGATGGTAAATCAGTTGATGAGGTTATGAATCTTCATCGACTGAGATGGTTGGGCCACGTGTTACGTATGCCTGAACACCGATTACCACGACGTGCAATGCTATCCGGTGTTGGGGATGGTTGGAAGAAAGTTAGGGGCGGCCAAACCAAAACGTGGCATCAGTGCTTGAAGTCACTAACTTTTAGTCTGAGCCATGTTGGTAGATGCAGACTACTTGGTTGGGGTCCGCGTGACTATCGTAACCAATGGTTGGAGACTCTTGGTGACATGGCTCAGAATCGATCACAATGGCGTAGGTGTATACATTCGGTTTCCTCCCTTAAACTAAGAGATTAAAAGCGCTTCATATCTTTCTTTCTACTAACCAATTCTTTCTTCTTGTACTATATCTCTATATGCAATCTTTCTCTTATATATTACCACCTTTTACCTAACCACTGTTATGAATCCGGTGTTCATCTTGTTGTGCTGATGCGGTATGGCAACCTGGACCGATGCACATAAGTGCATGGTTCTACGTTGTAGCTGACTGACTGACTGACATCCTACCTCAAATTGTTCAGTAATGCACTAATTCTAAAATATGAGTTGCTCACCAATGAGTGTAAAACTTCCAGATAGTTCAGAGTTTGATTGAATCGAGCGAAATGCTCTTAGCTAATATCTCTCTGGAAGGCTGAATAATAGCATACAGCAATGTGAAGATATTCACTTTCTAGTTGAATGTACAAAACCTGTTCTTATCATTATGGCATTTTTTATGCGTAATTTACAGCTTTTTCCAAATATTCTAACATAAATATGTAACTATACAGAACTTATCGTCGAAGAATTATACCTACTTCATTTGAATTTTCAGGTGTCATTGTCAGATTGCTAATATTTCTCACTCCTATCAAAACAAAACTACAACTTGATTTCTTCCATTCATTAGAACATTAGAAACCACCTTACTTGACTATCAAGTTGAGTACACTCTCAATGGACTTTATATTGAAACCAGTTATTTCATGTAAGTCATTCGAAATATGAATTTCTCCACTAAACAACTGGTTAATATTATATTCCCATGATTTTGCTACATTTGTTTCAAAGATTAACTTTTTAATTGATGGTTATTTTATAAATAACCTGAAGTAGAACTCTCTATACTATGGTTTGTTTGCTTGTTAATTATGTAAGTTGTCTGTAATTTTGTTGTATTTCATCAGCAATTGATTTTAGCCGGTAAACCTGTAGAAATCAAAATTTCGATAAATTTATTTTGAAATTTACCTCATCCTCATTGGTTTCACAATAGTCTAAGTAGACCAGTGAAATGCTATAACATGAGCACGGCAGCCGGAACTTGTATCATTGTGTAAGATCGAAATATTACAAGATTTCCCTCCTCTACAATATAGAGTTCGACACTAAGTAATGCTCGAAAGGAAATATGGAAATATTACAAATAAATAAAACAGTGAAAGTAGTATAAAGTTTGAAATGCAGATTATGTAAGAAGTCTTAACCCTTTTGAATCATGGTTTCTACTATGTTCAAACACCTTGATATATCACAACGTTACCATTTTGTTAACGTAGCCTCGTATACTTCTCAAACTTTAACACTTGCACCTAAGATTCACGAAGCAAGTGTGAGTACTATTCATAGGACAAACTTTTCATAACCAGTCCTTCCATATGTGTGAAGGTAGTGCCACTGCAGTTGCTTGTGAAGAAGACCACGCTGCCACTATTTTCCGCTACAACTTCACCGTCGGAATTGAAACATGTTGCTTTTTGCCTTATATCCAAGTAACCCCAAGAAGTGTTTGGTTAGATCATTGCGATGATTAACCTCATCTAGGTTTTTAGGACGGTAGCTGTTTTCGGATCAGATTTTCGTGAGTTTTGCTTGAACTTTGCTGGAAAGAATGTCATTATTTTGTCATCATCGTTCATTTAAATTACTTTTAACCCATAAACACCTAGAGATTTATATTTGTTTTAAATTTAGGTGCTGGTGATGAAAATCTTTTGCCTTATTTCGAAAGCCGCTGTTTATCGACTTTGGGGAGTCAGCAGGTGGTATGGAAACATCCAAAACTGTCAATGGTTCATTCTGTACGATTAGGAGCATGTTTTACAAGATTTCGTGTTAGCCAGTTACAGTCCAACGTCAAAGTTTTATCAAGTGGAAGACCTATTCGACCTGTGGGTACATTTCAACCATTACTTTATATTTATGTGACTTCAAATGTAAGTAACATTCACTGTTTTTATTCTATTTGTTTATTGTGATTCGCCTAACTTAAGTGGCTTTATTAATTGCCCTAGTCGAAGCCTGAAAAATTGTCAAAAACTTAACGGATACAAATCTTTTAATGTGTTTAGTTGATCATGTTTAACTGCATTTTAAGTGTGCCTGAAGATACATTTTCGGTAGCAGGATGAATATTTGTTGACGTATGGGGTTGATAAAATGTGAATGTGCTCTACGTCTAATTAGATATCAAATCATATGACCGTTTGATTAATTGAATGGATAGGTCATAGTAAAGTATTCCGGTTCATTAACTTAAAATTCTTTTATTCGTACAGAGAAGAGTGAATAGTAAGTTCAAAGGTAAATATATGATTTTTAACTCAACTATTACTCTCTTTTGTACACCTTAGTTCCTAAGAATGTAATATACTTTAAAGTGTAAAGAGGGATTTTAATCAGCTAAATCACGTAGTTATCCTACTAAAGTTGTATATAAACCTTTCTTACTAGTTTTAGTAGGCTCAGTTAACTAATCACACATCTAAAGTGTTGGTGACCTAATAGTAATATCGAGGCAATCCTCACTGGGTGCACATATGTCAAAAGAGACTAACCAGTTGTAGTCTTGAACATCAGTGGGAAGATTCAAATAACCAATACAAATGAAAATGTTTTGTTCGAAAAAAACTTTATCGTCTTGTTGGTTTAATGAGGGACAACAAAATCTTACGGAATCTCCGGACTGTATTAGTGATTACTAACAAACTTTCTATTAAGATTCAAAAACCATTTTCAATTTTTGGTTTTGGTTATTTGTACATGTTCCAGCTGAATTTCATATGTTGTACATTACCGATTATATGTTGCGAATGTTCAGTTAGTGTTTATCTCGTGATGTATTATCATTTACAGTGGGGTTAGGAAGTAAATCCCTCATATTTATATGATTAAGTTGTATCATTCTATGAAGTAATTAACTGTAATTGGAACAGTATGTATGGAAGTATATATTTTCTGACCCCTTATTACTAGACAGTAGTGAAACTAATGATGGAATAAATTAGTTGATGGCAATTGGCGGTGGTTAACAGTAAACTTTGGACTAGTGATTACATTGCAACTCAATCAATGCAATTCGATAAACAATAAGAACAATTTAACATACACGATATTGTTCACTATTCAATCAACTGTAAATTATTTGATGTATGACTAAGGATAAGTGGTACTGTCCTGCTATAATGCATTCTGACTGCTGACTATTTTACTTTTTAACATTCTGCTATTCATGATCTCTTCCCTTCCATTTTTTAATGATTCTTTTTCTCAATCGAAGATTTCTGTGGTTTATTTATATGGTAGAATTCTACAGATGGATCAGGAAATATGAATACTCTGAACTATTCACGTTCAAAACTCCAGATTTGAATTCTAAAAAGTGAACTACCAACATATTGATGTGAATGTATGTTATCAAAAGGACAATGTATGCTTCGAACTTCAAATATGTCATTATTTTTAATACTGTTATCATACACTGTTTTTGTTAATAGATGTTCAATGATTAACTAGAACTTCGATGTTTTTTGATTTTTCACTGAATATTTTAGGATGTTTCTCATTATACATCACATGGTGGACGGAATGCTATCGGTAGTTGGTTAGGCCATTTACGTGCCAGAAATGTATTTGACTGGCTTATTATTATGGTTAATTCGGATCCACAGTATAACACACCAAAAATTCTACAAAAATCAAATGTACTTGACAAAATTAGAAGTGATTTTAATGTTCGTACAGGCGACCGGTAAGCCTTCTGATTGATGTTTTTCACTTTGTTTAGTGTGTTATATCGAATTACTCAATATGTTAATTTCGAAGGAACAAATATTTGAAATTAAAGTATTGGGTGTTCTGTTTTTTCTCCTAAAACTCATCAGTTACACTATTCCCTGTGATTATTCCTCTTGATGTCATCATTTGTGTGTGGGCTGTGAGGTGTCAGGTGAACACATACTATTTTTCGAACGTTGATTCTATCAGTTAACACCTGCAATATCAGAACGCTTATAGGTATAATGATATTATTCGATTTACCAGTTCAAAATTCTGAAACCGTAAGATTATACTGTAGTCTATATTGTGTGTATATCTCATCTTGGATTATATTGGTCAAATGTGTATTCTATTTGCTGTCTTGTTATAGGACTGTGGAAATGTACAAAAGCCAGGTAATTGTATAGTTCTGTAGTATTTCATGTGTAACGATAAATAAAAGTAATATGCTGGTTGCGTAGTCTCAAAAAAGACACCGAATTTTGTTGTATTGAATGGAAATGGTTCAGAAATGTTGCTGAGTTTTAATACTAGTCGATCAACTTCTGTTACCATACATGTATCCTCAGCGAATCGTCTGGAAATCGCCTTTTTGGTATATAACAAAACACTTATCATGGGCTTTACTGCCAGCCATAGTTCAAATATACTGCCCCCAAATGCCCTGGTACAGCCGAGAGTGTGAGAGTTTGCTCTCCATCTCTAAATGCCCTCACATGGCCACGTACATACAACTACTGCCAAGGAAGTCCCACTCACTACCTTCTCGCGACAGCGGTGTTGTCTGCTAAACTGAGAGGACGACAAGAGAATGTCTGGCGCCTGAACTGATCGGTGGGTACGGAGGATACACCTATGGGAGTTGGAAAACACTTATTTCAAACCGATGGAGTGGATGGGCTCCAGGATTCTGATGGAACAAAAGGCGTATGAACCTATTGTAGGTCACCGGCTACCATGGGAATGCATGTTCTAACGTCGCTCCACTGCCTTGTGGATTAGACCTTTAGTTCAAAGGCTCGGGAAGTGGTCCCGTAAGAAACTCACCTGCTTCGGTTTTGGCACCCAGACAGTATCCCAGCTCTCACACAAATCGAATGACTTATGTGGTACATATCTCTTTGTTGCCTCCTTGTATCAATATTCATGTGTTTAAATAAATAAATAAAATAAAATAATGGTTCAAATATGCTAAAATATTTGTGCTTATTCCCATATTTCTTTGATTATCGGTCTACCTTATCTGTTGCTACTATCTCATGTACGGTGAAGTAATCAGTAACATCGCTTCAAATTGTTTGACTAAATAGGTGTATAAATCAACATTCCAGTTTCTCCAATTCGAGACATCAAATATATATTGAGAACTTAATTAGATCTTTCACCTGAATTGTCATAAGGTTTTCCTTGCCAACATCGCATGATATACGTATTGTTCACGTTCTCGAAATTTAGCAAATCAGTCATTGAGAACTTGTGTATATAGACATAGTGAAACGTAAAATAGATATCCAGAGATCAGCATTATTTGAATCCAATCCACATATTAATGTTAAAGATACTGCTCAGCTGTATTCGATTGACTGGGAGCCTTGTTTGTTTAGTGCTTTCTTCATTAACCACTTTTCTTCGAATCACTTTTGTAAACCGAATTTATTGCTATTCTCAACCCAAAGAATCTCACTATTTTTTAAATTCTTCATCTCACGTAAGCTTGTTTTTTTACCTGATTGCTTGTTTAGATAATCAGTTTGTCAAAGCAAACATATATTAATATGATGTAATCCATGTATACAGTTTTCATATCTTTTAAAGACAATTTCTAGAAGTACCAGCACCTAATTCAGCTGAAGAAAAACTATTCAATGAATCATGGAATCAGTTAACTTATCTTGTTCGTAAATCTATCATATCGGCTTGTATGTCAATTATTGCTGATTATGATATACATTTACAAATGCTGACCGATTCGTGTTCAACCTTTACATGGGATTATTTTGAGTATTTAGATAGAAAGGTAATGACGATTATTGTGAAATTATACTATGATGATGAGTTTAAGTCAACTAATCAGATTGAAGATAATGGTTTTTGAAATTCGCCACTAAATGTAAAACACAATTACGAATAGCTCGTTACTCAAAGCAATGGTGTTTGACTATATTTCCTATTTTGACTGATTTTGAAGGGGATGTGATTGTATTGAAATTGATTAGACCGTTATCCGTAAAAAAGGTATAATATAGGTAGAAATGTAAAAGTAAATTGGGAAAGTTATAATTTCTTTAATTTAATTAACTGGTTTTCGAAATATGGGATAGGACGTTGCAGAAAAGGTCATTTTGAGTATAATCCAAATAAAGTGACGTTAATTCTCACATCCATTACTAGAAGTTATATCCGGCTTGAAACAATGATGAACACAGGCTATCAGATTTGTAGAAATGTTTGGGTTGTCTAAGAGCTCCATAGGAAGAATGTTATGAAGTCATATGGACGAATTCCTATATCGTTCTTACTATGAATTCAATCCCAATGAACTTAAACTTAAGCTGAATAAATTCACTAATCTTCTGGAAACTCTATATGTATATTTTACTATTTCTGATTTTTCGTGGTTAATACTTCATTGTTATCACCTGCATTTTAACTGGGTAATAATAGTTTATCAAAATACTGCCTACTCAATCCGCTTTTACATTTCTACCTCTATTATACCTTTTTTTACGGATAACGGTCTAATCAATTTCAATACAATCACATCCCCTTCAAAATCAGTCAAAATAGGAAATATAGTCAAACACCATTGCTTTGAGTAACGAGCTATTCGTAATTGTGTTTTACATTTAGTGCCGAATTTCAAAAACCGTTATCTTCAATCTAATTAGTTGACTTAAACTCATCAGTATCGTATTGTTTTACCTAATGTTTCTAAGTATCTCCTCATTTATATTTTTATTTTGCACAGTTTTTATTGTTATTTTCTATAACTATACTAATGTCAAAGTTGAATTAATTTCTGTATAACTAAATAAGAATTATTCTAATAAGTAAATGCTTCTTGTATTTACCATTTATCCTTGTTACTATCCAGTAGTAGTAACTTGGATTAAGTAGAAATGACTAGTTCAATTGAAATGTTTCTTCTACTTTTTCCATAGATTGTTAATACTGTTATTAAAAATTGTTTTGAATTATTTCTCCCCCCCCCAGATATCTATTTTGTCATAGTGTTTAAATTAAGTATGCTCATTTTCCTAATATCTGATAAAATTCTATCTTGGATTCATTAATTTACTTGAAAGTGATAGTGTTTACCGTATACATGTAATTTGTGTTAATTATTAAATTAATATTAATTTATGTTTTGATGTATACCTATTTATATTTTATATTCTTTAACAATTATACAGGAAGAATTAGCGCATATGTATTTGTTTCTTGGTGGACATGAACATGCTTTACATGAGTATCGTGAAGCAACTGAATTACTTTCTAAATGTATTCAAGCGTCAACACAACAAGGTTAGCAATTTTTTGTTTAAATTTTTAATAGTTTTCTGGTGTTTTTTTTATAGTTTGATATGTTTATCTGTCAAAAGGATATTAAAACAGTATTGTGATGTTTACTGATAGATCTCTTAACATTTTATTTAAACAAATATATAGAATTCGAACAACAATGTAAACAGTACGAATTGCCGAAAAGTGAAACGATTTGTAATCTTAACTTGTATCTACACTGTTCATGATTAAGATGAATCTCAAGAGACAAAATAATGTAACAAATGGACTAAAACTGATTTATCTTCAATACAAAATACAATAATGTTAAACTGGGCATTCGATCCATAGATTAGGTAATTAGTCTTAATTCACATATATATTAGTTATTTAATACCTCCCATTGATGTTCAAGACTGCAATTGATCAGTCTCTTTTGGAATATGTGCATTCTCTACGGATCGTTTCGATATTGCCAGTAAGTCACAAGCGTTTTTGGGGCAGAAATGGATGGTGGATAACAGTGAAATCCAGGATGTGATTTTCGCCTTGTTTTGGACTCGTCAGCTGGATGTATCTGCATCCAAGAGTTGGTGTTCACTCCGGGAATTGAACCCAATACTTTTCACTCCAAACTCCATCGCGTTATGTACTGACCAATTGTAAATCCAGCTGCTTTAAACGAAATTCTTAGTAAAAACTGTACTTCATTATGTAGTACTGACCCACTAAATGAACTGGAAAAATCACTACCAGTGCTCGGCACAACGCACTAAGTGACCATTGAACACTTTGCAGATTAAACAATTTTAAAAGTATCAAATCCTTTTTGTTGATTTTCACAATCTCATGAATTTCTGTCTGCATCTATCATTCTATTCAGGATCTAAACGTCCTCAATGGTTAGATCGATTAACACAATTGTCATCATCGGATGAAGTATCACATTATGTGTGTGATTATTCTTTAGATGTGACGAATACAGAAATAAAACAGTCTAGTCGTTTAAAAAATCGTAACGCTACATTATTCGAATTGAAAAATTACCTTTTATCAAGACAAGCGTCAATATTATGTATATGTGATCGATTAAATGAATTTCCTGCATTTGCTTATCATACCATTTGTTCTACATTGACTGAAATAAACATATTAGATGTAAGTAAATTCTTATTTTAACGATATAATGATTTCCGATATATATATATATATATATATATATATATATATATATATATATATATATATATATATATCAGCCATGACCTGACATCTCATATCCTTTTTCAAGACTACGTAGTATTTAAAAGTCAAGTGAGTACGGACCGTTGTGAGTTATTCATCTACACATGGTCGCTACCTACACATCCCTGTTCAGATAAGTTTAACTAACTATATATCTGTATGCATATGCTTGATTTGTAAGCATGAGTGTTCGGGCCTTGGTAAGAAAGTTTCCTATTCAGTTATGATCTTTTTTGCTTAGCTAAATTGATTAACTATAAAGTGTAGCACACAACGTTTGTTAGTTTATACATAAGTCGAGTTGCATTGTTATGCATATCTGGCACGATACTAAATTTCTTATCCATAAAAATGCAAGAACTTTAAGATATGGATATCTGCAAATATGTTTAAGTTGTAGGTCTTATGATTATTTCGCTCTATTATTAAAGGGTCACTTAGATATATTATGTATTCAGTATAGTTGAAATAATATCCAAGAAAAATGCAACAGACAAATCGATGTACATGTGATATTCAGTTTCTACTAAACAAAAAAGGAGAAGGGACGTAGTAAACGACTATAACTGCCATGGAAATGTTTATTTTCTGCCCTAAACCCAATCTGTTCTCTCTCCAATGTTCAAGTTTCTCTTACTAGTTCTTTTCACTTAATATAATGGCAAAACGCTCAGCCAAAGTTTAAGCAACATTATAAAATAATATTAACCTCTTCATTTTGGTGATTGGCTGATAACTAAGTAGTGACCAGTGTTATGTTTGTTTGATCCCTTAGTGTTGAGCCTATGCTGTTGATCGAGTTGCCAAGTCACTCACCAGATAACTCGGTGGTAACGTCTCGAACTGTGAGGCTACAGAACACGGGTCCAAATCTTTCAGGGAATGTCAGTTCCCTCAAGATCGCATGTACATCTCGCAAACGAGTGTCATCCATCATGAAACTTAGGTTTAGGGTTTTCTCCTGACAACTTCCAACTAACTAACATATTGATTTCTTGATAACTGTCGAATAGTGTTTGACTGGCCATTTGTCGCTAATATCTATCTCATCAGTGTCATTAGTATATCAAGAAAATCACCTGTATAATAACTGTTTCTTCAACCAACTCATTTTTTCTCACTGTTTGTTTGATATGATTAATCTTAGTCAAAAAATTACTTAGTAAACACCAATCATGATAATAAATCGTTTTATTACTTTCCCCCCCTCATTTTTGTAAAAAAATTCGTTTACTTTTGAAAAGTAGATTCAAACGGATAATTTATTTCGCGCTGTTTGGATTCTGTGTATTTGTTTAAATACACTAACAAATATCCGACTAGATTCAGATCGTTCAATGGATGATGTCAATAAATCAATTATTGAATTATTGGATACAGCTTTTTCATGCAATAATATTTTAGAGAATATTAATTTTACACGCCTTTCAAAGTTATCATTTAATAGGCAGTTGTCGTCGTCGTCATCATCATCATCATCGTCTTCATCACCGACCATAACAACACAAAGTGTATTTATTGATGCTAACAAAGATTCAAATGTTACTATTTGGTATATGAGTCATATAGTTGATAAAATCTTCACTCATTTTCGTTGTTATGAATATCCATTATTACGTAATACTTCTCATTTATCATCTATCAATAATGTTACTAGTACATCAACAGAAAATTCATCAATAATTCATAAATTATCATTGAATAAAATCAATAATGAAAACGATTATTTTTGTTCAGAAAATTATTCTATTGAATTATGGTTAATTATATTTAATTATATAAAACAAATTGGACAATTCATTGGTTTATGGTGTATTAAATCAAATTTATCTATTCATCATGAAAAATATTCATTATTCAATAAAATAATTACTGATCATTTAATCCATAATCAACAATCAATAATTAAAGATTCTATTCAACAACAACAACAACAAAATAATATTGAAAATCAATTAAACTTAGACATAGAACAAATCAATGTAGAACAAATACAATTAAATCATTCTATATTATTTGCTCATAATCATTTAATTCCATTATTTACATCAACATTAATTTATTCACAAATATTTACATCAATTGGACAAACATTAATTGGTTTCTTTAAATTAATACATTGTCCTAAACGTGCATATGAAATTGTTTATGATTTAGCTGATTTCTTATTGTAAGTTTATATATATATATATTAATGATATTTTATTTTATATTCATTTTTTTGATTGATTTCTGTTAGTAGATATGATATTTGATATCAATGTTGTTTTTTAATATGCTTGTTAAACCAAATTTATCCATTTGAAAAGATTAATAAATAAGTAAGGAGATGTAATTGGAAAATTTGAATAAAGAGGTGTATATATCATCGATATATATATATTTGATCCAATCAAGGAAATATGTAATGAGACCTAGATTACAAGTGTAATCGATTTCTTCCAACAACTTGTCTCGTTTATGATCTGCCACCAATTGTTTGATATTGAAATGTCATATCAGTTAGTCAATCAGCTATGACGTAGAACCAGGCATATATATGCATCGGTTCAAGTTGCCATATCTCATTAGCACAACAAAATGAACACACAATTCATAGTAGTCACTTCAATGGTAGTAATATATAAAAGAAAAATTGCATATAAGTATATAGTATAGGAAGAAAGAATTACTTCGTAGAAAGAAAGATATAAATTAATATTAATCTCATAGTTTAAAAGAAGACAAAGAGTGTGGCCATCTACGCCATTGTGATCGATTCTGAGTCATATCACCCAGAGTTTCCAACCATTGGTTACGATAGTCACGTGGACCCCAACCAAGTAGTCTGCATCTACCAACATCGTACAGACTAGAAGTTAGTGACTTCAAGCACTGATGCCACGTTTTGATTTGGCTTCCCCTAACTTTCTTCTAACCGTCTCCAACACTAGTCAGCATTGCACGTCGTAGTAATCGGTGGAAATGTCTTATAAACACTGGTACGCGTTATATACCTAGATTCACCCAGCTTGAATAAATTTTTTCACATTGTTCTTTTTCATTGCACTAAATGATTATCTGAAAATTAGTAATGATCGGAAGGTGACATACATATTTGAAAAAATTCAAGAGCCAGTAGATTAATACATGGGATCAGCTTATGAAGTCATCGACTGTTAGTCTCTACCTTGTTTTTTGGTAAGTTTAGGCTTCCAAGTTGAGACTCACGAAATAATTATATCATATGATTCGAAAAATATTGCGAAATATAGCTCAAAATTGTTTGTAGACCCATAGTTTTATATGTAGCTCAATGTAGACGCACTCATTTTTTGGTCACCTCTGTCTTAAAATTACTACTTGTTTTTACTTGACATTTTACAATTTAATTACCCGTTGATTTGTTTTCACTACATTTGTCCTTTCCCCTAGTTCCAGTGTTGCATTTCCTCCCTGATAACGGTTTCATTTTCAATATACTGATTTATATTTTAATCATTACAATTGATATATATTTATGACTAGTTCCCATATGTTAATTGTTGCTACCATTCGGAATTACTGTTTAATCGTAGTGGTTGTAGATGTATCCTTTTTTGACAGCATCAACTAATTGAGTAAATGGATTTTATCAGCACTCAGAAGAAATAGACGTGATTGTGGTTACTATATAGTAAAATGGTTGCTTAATGGTTATGGCATTTTCATTTTAGCCAGTGAAAATAATGTTTGAATTTCAATCTATATATGTCAGTTTGAGTAGCTGGTTTGTATGATTAGCTCTCTAATTTAGGGTGTGGCTTAATCGAAAGTAAACAAATTTGTATCCGGTAAATGAGTTGCTAATTATAAAGATAGTAATATTGTAGTTGATGCTACTCACAAGATGTTTGTAGGTAGGTGTGCAGCGGAACGTGGCGTCGAAGTTACAACAATTGTCAGACGGAGTGAAGTTTCAGTGCATCGAAATCGCGGCGTTGGCAGAGCACACTGAAAGATACAAATAAACGACTGAAGGCTATGTTTATGTATTATGTAAATACTTTGTAACTTCTCACAAAAATGGGCATTTTTCCTGCCTATTATCTTGTTCTATAATATTACAGAGTGAATGGTTAGTTCAATAAATTCCCAGGAATTTTAGAAGAGTAACTTCTCGTACTGAAGCATTGATACTTTTCGTATCTCTGACGTTGCATAAACTTTCTCACGGTTGCGATTGCTCCTTCTTAAGGATAGTCAAGAATTATAAAACATGAATGCAGGACGTACACCAGTTCACCGTCAACTCTCTAGCATCTCACTTCCATTCTTCGTAACTCTTGAGCTGCCCATTAATTTTATCGGTAATTTCTATACTTTTGTTCTCTTCTGACTTATTATCTCGTTGGTGTGAATAGTGTTAATTTGAACATATTAATGTCAGATTGTTGACCCCCCTTTTTGCCCCCTAAATGCCCCTGGTATGACCGAGAATGGGGAGAGTCCGCTCTCTTTCTCAAAACGCTTTCACATGGCCAAGCGTATGTAGCCTCTGCCACGGAAATCCTACTCACTGTCTTCTCGTGGTGAGGGTGTTGTTTACGAAATTGAGAGGACGAAAAGCGAATGTCCGGCGCTTTAACCAGGTTGGTCGACATAGAGAGTCCACCTAGGGGAGTTGGAAAACCCTGATCCCAAACCAATGGTGCACATGGGCTCCAGTAGTTTGAAGGAACAAATGGTGTATGAACCAATCGTTGGTCACCGGCTACCATGGGATTGCATCTCCTAACGTTGTTCCACTGCCTTGTGGATCAGACCGTTAGGTCGAGGGTTTCGGGTGTGGATTTCTAAGAAAACCACCTACTTCGATTTAGGCACCCGTGCAGTATCATAGCTCTCACACAAATCAGATATTTGTGTGACGCATATGTATTTGGTGCCTCCTTGTACCAATGTCTTTGTGTCCAAATAAATAAATAACCCTTTTATCTCCCTCCTGAAAATCATATTGTTTCTAATTAAACTTTCTCTTTTAAGCTTTAGATTGCGCCTCGGTTGGAAAACCACAAATATTACCCTCTTGTTTTAACGCTTCCATATTGTTGATTGGAACAGATTACTTTGTCAATTTTCTAGGGTCATGTAAATCACAATTTAACGCTACCGTTTGTCTTTATTTTGGCATCTAGGTGCTTAGTTGGTTTTTTTCTCCCAGTAAGTTTTATTTTGTAGCATTCTTTTGCTGCCTACTACAGTCGTATTATCATAGCTTACATCATAGACTAATCTTTATTAGACAACCATTGAAAGCAGATAATCACCAGATGCGTTGTTATGTCCGAGTATTGGACTCTTCAATAATGTTCATCCATGACCCCACCGGCGATGAAACCCAACACCTTTAGTCTTGCAGCGAGCGCTTCACCTCTAGACCACTTAGCCAGCATCTAATCTTATTCCTTATTTTCTTAATTTTTACTGATCATTTAGTTCACAAGGAGCTCATGAATCAGCTTCATGGTTATATGAGTCACTAATAAATCATTATGATGAGTCTTCGTGGATTGGTTTAGTAACAAGTACACGTATATGCTTGGCATGGTGCTACCATTCCTTATGTGTAAAGAAGCATTTTGAAACTAAAGATGATTATGAAATTGCTCGAAAGTAGGTGAACACGTGAAGTTTGTTCTTTTTCCTTTTTATATACCTAAATCATTATCATATATTCAATAATTGTGCTTGTGTTTTCTTAGGACGGATAAATTATTTCTAGTGGTAAAACCCACGACTCGTGTTTCGTTCTTTTGGGGACTCGTCGACTGGATGTACCTGTCAAATCCCAGTATTGATATCCGTATTAGTACACCTAGCAATGTTAGCTACAATCCGTCTATTGTGAAAGGGGATTTATGTCAAAACGGCTATATCAGGCCATTCAACCTAGAGGATGCATATACACTAACAAAAAGATTAGTCAAAATTCAGTCCCGAATATCTACAATGTGATAATTCAAACTCTTACTAATAATGATATAAACTGCGTTCATGTTTATCGTTTGGTTAAAAAAAAATGAGTTCAATCTGTTTCCTATATTGATCTATTTTTGTTGTACAATAAGGTCGAAAATTACATATCAAAAAATCAAACAGTGGTTTAATAGCTCTTATGTACAGTGTAATAATAGGGTTGTTCGCCACAAATCTAATTTTCTTTACTTCGGTTACTAACGTCGGGTTTTATATATTCAGCTCTATGTTATTGTCACATTCGGTTACAAAAAACTCACGCTTCCCATACGTTTACCCACAAATCAATGAGAGTGGAAAAACTAAGAAATTGCTAGGAAGCTTTAATTGTTAGAACTGAATGATAATGTACACAAATCATAATTATTTATACATTTATCCCCTCTGAACGAGATAACGACATGTTGGATGAATAGGTGGATAATTAAATCCATCCAGTAACAAGCCTCGTTCATATTTTGTCGCTTATCATTTAACTTCGAGACAGTATATGCGGTGCCTGGCTTTTGCACAGGCACGTACTATTACTTAACACTCTCAATCTATCAGCCTTGAGCATTGACTTATTAGTTAAGGTGCTCAATTTTCGACGACTAAGTCCTGAACTCAAATCCAACTACACCTGCTTTAATTTGGACAACTGAATAGTATCATTAATTTTCACACTTAGAGTGTGGTTCATACCCATGTAACCCAGTAAATAAGTTAATTTAATACATATTAATGTATCCATGTTCATCGAATTTTATATTCATCTTTTTCTCTTAAATACAACGTATGTGTTTAAAACAAAGAATATTTATCTGATTTGACAGTTAACTTCTTATGATATAAAATATGTTACAAATAGTAATAAATGATTATAGTCCAAAAGCATTCTTTTTTTACACAGTATAAAACTGGAAAACGAAATTAGTCATATTTATTTATGACTTAGTGAATTAGTGCCAGTCATTGCCATTTTCTTAAACACTACACAACATTGTGTTAGTGTTTTGTGGATTAAGTACTAATTATATACGTACTTACGTCTGTTACTCCTCGTGGGGGGGGGGCATAGGCCGCCCACCAGCATTCTCCATCGAACTCTGTCCTGGGAAATCCTTTCCACTTATTATTCATCCTTTTCATATCTGCTTCAGATTCTCAACATAGTGTGTTCTTTGACCTTCCTATTTTCCGTTTCCTTTCAGGATTCCAAGTTAGCGCATGCTTCGTGATGCCATTTAGTGATTTCCGTACTGTATTTCCTATTCACATCCATAGTTTTTTCCTAATTTCCTCTTCATCTAAGCGGGTTTGTTCTTTCCCATAGTAGGTTGTTGCTGATGGTTTTCGACCAACGGACATTGAGTATCTTGCTTATACAACTGTTTATAAATACTTGTACTTTCTTGATGATGGTTGTAATAGACTAATTAAATAGTTTAACTAAGAAAATATTTCATTGTTAACATTTTCTAAAATGAATGTGTATTCATTTTCAGTTAAATGATTTTCTTAATTTATATAGATACATTCAAATCTGTTTCATCTTAGCTGGTACAAAACATTCTGTATTACGTACAGCTGCTATTCATGTTTACAATAAAATTCAATTTTGGTATCAAACAATAGATTTTACACAAATTTTATCAATACCATCATTTAATGATTCAATTAACCCAAATTATTGGTGGAAAGAAGCTGTTGAATTTCGTAATTCTTTATTAGCATATCATCAATGTATTGTTTTGGATCCTTATCAAATGTCACCATTGTTTCGTTTAAAATCTGTTGAATTGGAAGGTGTTTGTAATTGTGGTTATCAATTGATTTTTATTCAATTAAAGTCTAATTCGGATCGAACATTTAAAGCATCGTATGTTACATTATGTTTAGTTTTTTTCTTTAGAATATCTATTTTTTGTTGATGAAATCCCTTATGAAACACATCTTACTATTTCTAAGAGTTGGTGTTTATCGAAATTTCGACACGGATTCGGAAAGCTGGGTTAACCTTTGCTAATTCGTGTCATATGTAGCATAGTTCAGATGTCTGTCTGGCGATCAAGGGGCAAATGTACTGCTCATCAGTCCACTCTGTACTGTTCTATAGATGTGAAAAATAGTCTATATGAATAGAAGATATGCACATACTGAACTTTTTCAAACCATTCATTGGGCATCACTAGAACAGATGAGCTTTAATTAGTTCAATTTATAAAATGTTTATTTTTGACTACGTAAAGCAGCTATTAAACGTTCACCTAAGAAATGCTTAGGTTACAGTCCATTTTCCTCATCATCTCTAACTATTCACCATTCCAATGATCTGTATTCTTTGAAAATGTTTAAATCATCATATTAACTGATAAGTCCTGTTTAATTTGCTCCCTGTCTATTCATAATTTACATCTGCTGCTGAGGTATTTGTATTAGCCTATTGGGAAAAGGTAAATTGAATGAAGGGATAATTCATTTGAACGCTGGAATAGAAGTATGCTAACTGATTTGTAACAAAGATGTTATTTGAATCTATTTGTTGTGTGTGGAGCTTGTGGATGTTGAGCATTATATCTTAAGTTGAAGTTTCACTCAACATATTTTCGTGTTAACGGTGTTATGATATCTTTAACATTCAGATAGTGAATACAGCTGAAACCTTAGTGCTATAATTTGCTTTAGTTTCTCTATTTCGCCAATGCTTATACTGTTATTATGTTGTCACAACACCGTCTTAATAGACGATGTTTGAGTATGGGTAGTACATGTCTCAACCACGTCATTTGATCAAGATTCACTACTTCACCAAATGATTCGCCAATCTTTACCTTGTAGTCTCCATCTTACCCTAGCATTGCTCACTCAGTGGTCCAAAAATACACGAGCGATATTTCTATGACACTTATGATCGAATACTAGTAACCTATGTCTTCCTATTCTTAGCGACCATGTTTTGCATCTATAAAGTAGGACAGAACAATTTACTGCTCGGTAAAATATTTGGTTGGTAGGCAGACATCTCGATGTGGAAATGAGATGTTCTTGTATATTTATAGGAGTACTTCATTTTTACAAAAATAATCTTGATACAAATACCTCAGTACTTAAATCTCCTATGTAATCGTATTTTGCAAATGATTACTTGTAAAGCGTTTTGACATTCGTATTAAGCATAACTAACCATATTTTTAATACTTGAACCATCAAAAAAAGATGTAACAGAGTTGAATGTAAATTATATATCTTCAAAATGACGACGAATTTTATTCTTAAAGAAGCCTTTAATTGAGTCTGGAAAAATATCTGTAAAATTTATTGGTTTATAAGTCGTACTGAACATAATTGAAGTACAGAACAGAAAATGTAGTTTCAACTAAACATAAGTAGCAACGAATAATATGACATATGCTATTTAATTCTTAATCTCTAATGATAAACCACAGATTTAGGGTGTATTAACAATATGTCCATTACTCCGACTAACTTCAAGTTAATACATGTGAAGTAGGTACTGATAATTTTGTCCAAAATGACAATCGAAGTCCAGGAATTCAGTCATCTTTCTCAGATAACACAACACTACTTAAAGGTGCCATCTGATCTCCAAATCTCCATCATTTCAAAAGTGTTCATTGGTTTCTGTTTCCTGTTTGTGTAAACTCCGTTCAAATTAATCATATCCCAATAGTTTTCAATCAGTTTTTCAGTTATTCACTATATCATAAATTGTTTATGCATTATAAAGTTGTACACTTTATATCCAGACAACTTATATTACTGTACAATTTTTTCTATGACTACAGAGTACACATTAGTGGATCAGAACCTTCGTACATCGACTGGCAAACATTGTTGAATCCAAACGAATTTCTACCTTATCATGTAATGGATAAAACTAATCATTTATTGATGCCACAGTTAGATAGCCAACTACATTTGATCAATTTGACTACTGCTCCTAGTATCTCTGTTGTCAAAAGCTTAGCAGGTATTAATGTGAATAACCCAATAATTATTGGTAGTGATAATAATAATAATAATCGTAATAGTAGTAGTAATATTAGCACTGGCAGTCATAAAGTTATCTTACGTGGTCAATTCTCTACTTCATCTGAAAAAAATTCAAGACAATACAATAAGTACCATTTACCAACAACCGAAATGACTGTCTCTACTCGTCGAAGTTATTCCAGTATAACAGATAGTTCTAAAGAATATCTGAATAAAAATTTAGCACTTAAAGGAAATCAATTGAGAATTAGTAAAATGAATAGCCAGTCACGTTTAGGTTCATTGTTAAACGTTGCTGCATCATTGGCCAGTAGACCAGCATGGAAATCTCAAGATACTATAGGCGTTATGAGTGATGAGCATAATAATACTCCTATTTCTACCCCACATATAATACAGAATGGCAGAATTACACGGATTCCTTCTGATGGTTTAATCGGTAAGCATAAAAATTATGAAGGCATTATAAGCATACATTTATACTATTTTATTATTTAAGATTTTAATGAAATAATGACTTTCGAAAATGTAAAAGGAAAAACATGAAATCTATAGTAATTATAACATAATTTATGGTGGTCTAATCAAAACTTGATTAAAGTGGATACGTTTGTTTTGCTACACATTTATCTTATCAAAATATAAATTTTCCGCAGTGTATCTTCATTATTTAAATGTATGACTTATTGGAAACAAATTCTGATGTATTAACTTATACATACATGACAAACATAGCTTTTCATTCTTTCGGTGTCTGCTTCCAATTCATGATGCAGTGTTGTTTTTGGTCTGCCTCTTTTCTTTTCGTCTTGACGATTTCACGGTAGGGCTTGCCTTGTGATACAGTTTGTTGGTTTTCGTAAAATTTGACCTATCCACTTCTAGCGTCTTTTCCCAATTTCCACTTCAACTGGAAGTTGCTTTGTTCTCTGCCATAGTAGGTCATTGCTGATGCTGTCTGGCCAACGGATCCGGAGTGCCTTTCGTAGACAACTATTTATGAATACCTGTACTTTTTTTGATGATGGTTGTAGTGTTGTGAACTAGAATATATGTAGGGATAACCGAATGTATTTTATTGCAAAATTACAGAATGTCTTAGTCAAATCTAAGAACCAACCAATAAACACTTCATTTGCAAGATGTCAATCAATTGTCTCAGACCTTAGTGTTCCTTCGTTTCCAAAATAATCATTCTCTGCTCTCGTTCGCTTTTCTTTGATCTTCTACCGCCAGGCATTTCACTCTCGATTGATGATACATACTACTTATATCTGTCTACGTCAGTAGCACACACCACAATAGTAGGTCTCTTAGTTTCAGCCCAGTACAATAGAATTGTCTTGATGTTTGTATTGGAAATTCTGACTTAAGTGTTGTCGAGCAGTTGTTTTGAGTTCTATATGTTCTTTAATTGTGTGAATGCTGCTTTTGCTTTATGATTATTACATACACGATCTAGAATAAAAGTAATCATTTCGTTGCAAGTGTCATTTCTTCTCGCATTTCATAAATTCCTTGTACTACGATTAGATATTTCAGCTTCTTTATATGGATTGTAAATTTGTTTGATGTAAAGTACCTTACACAGACATAAATATCATGCCGATCAATTAGAGCTCACTACCGGTTACTGCTTACTTCGTTTAGTCGGATTCTTCTCTTCTTTGTCTCACCTTGTGTGATACTGGCAATACCAACAACGAATAGCTAGAATACTTTTCAGTATAGGGTTGTGGGGATTGCTCAGTCCCGGATTCGAATCCCACGTGCGAGCTGCTGAGGAGTCTCATACTAGGAAGAAACGGTCGTACAATACTTTCAGGTTTTTTATAATTCTCTAACCTCGATCGGTTTACGATTTTGACGAACTTAGAATACTGTTCTATCTTTGAATATCATTTGTAATTTTAGGCTGTTCGACCTGAAAATCCCTCATTGGAAAAGAGTTTCTCTAAGGAAAATATTAAATTAAGATAATTTATTCAACAGCGGGACAATATCACAAGTTACACTCATATGATAACTATTTTCCATTGGAATTTCATACATCATTCCGTGTAATCATAATTATGAAATCCATATAGAGTTTCGCTCCCAATTCGTCTTAGTTTCACATAGAAATTAATTCATGGATCGTATCCTTCAAATTTTAGATATACCATAATCCATTTCTTAAAAAAAAAGATTTCATCAAAGAATAAGTTCGAATAATTCCTTAATAGCTAACTGATATTAGTCGTATGATTGCTAGAATATATGAGATCCTCAACAATATTTTTCGCGTATATTTATCAATTATCATATGTTAAAATAGATATTCTTGTAAAACTATGTATAATATTACTATTAGTGACTTTATTCAATATTATATTTTTGGTACAATATAGAATTCTCAGCACAAATTCTTTTAACAAGTTTCCGTTTCTCATTTCTGGATTGATCTTGACGACCAGTATTAAGTGGTCGTCAGTTAGATATTAACATTACAGGAATTGATATTTGAATAATGTTCATTCTTTTCAATACATATTGCCAACAATCATGACGTCTTTGATTGGGCTTTTTTGTAATTTGTAAAGCGAAAGGTCGTAAACTTTTCATGAACGCGCCTGGATACGTTATGAGACTAATAGTTAAGACAAACAAAAACTTGCTGAAATATCTAGATGGCAGGAACAGGTAGCCCAGGTATTCAAACAGGCCGACTTTATTATTAGATAGAGAATATTCATTATGTATAACTTAAAAGTTACTTTTATTCGTTTACTGTAATTCATCTTTTAACTAGTTGACATTATAAGTTACATACAATCACTCAATGTTTTTTCTTTCTTTTTGATTTATAGGACTACTATTGTTAAACCTCATAGGCCAACTGTTTACATCATTAAGTCATAGTTGTTTAAGAATGTCGGTCTGTATTCATCGAATCTAATGACTTATCCATTACTGTTGTGTTTTTGTTGTTGTTGTTGTGTTAATCCTAAAACTATTTTTATACCATAAATAATCGAGTATTTACATCCTTAGTATCAGATTCTAACAATATTTAATTTAACTTGTTTAGTTAATGAGTATGCAGTCTTTCTCCAGTTGTGTGAAAGTTTCTTATTCGCTTTCATCAATGTCTTCAATCAAATATTTACGTTTGAATTGATAAACTAAAAATTAGTCATTCAATTCACACAATTAAACATTGGTAATTGTTCTCTATTCTTTGTGGATGTAATAAAATATATCTTATTTGATTCAGACATTTTGGTGCATAATATTAATGTGACCTTAGTCCCTTATTGATTGAACCAAAAATATCAATGTCTCGAATAAGTTATCTGATATGCTAACATTTGTTGGTACACACGAAATCCATATTCATAAATGCTAATTAGAACAAAAGAATAATACAGCCAATGTAACTATTGTTTATCCTAATTCAAAAACACAATCATGTAAATGAATTAAAGTGCCACAAAGCACGATTAGTAGTAAATTACAACGTTTACCATTATGAATAAAGCCCCTCAATGTTCTGGTATGGCCAATAATGGGGAGAGTTCACTCTTCATCTCGAACTGCTTTCATATAGCCAGACGTATATGATCATTGCCAGATAAATCCTATTCACGGTCTTCTCACAACCATGGTATTGTTTACGAAATTTAGAGGATTAGAAGCGAATGTCTGGCGCTTAAACTGGGTTAGTGGGTACGGAGAATTCATTTAGGGAAGTTGGAAATCAGGCTTGTAACTAATTTACAATAATTTCAAGACAGTAAAAGATAACAGTTGACTAGTCAAATCAAGATTTACAATTAAATGAATATAAAAATACAGATTGTTCACAAATTATCTTCTAAATTATAACATCTTTATGTATTTATCTCATTTTAACCGACATAGAAATGGACTAATTCAAAGAAGTTTAAATTAAATACAATGAATGAATTAATTCGTTCCGACTAGTCTCTCTTTTCGTTATAATCAACTTTATGCATAAAGTTTAGTTTTGAATGAATTAAACAAACACTTGAAAAAAATTTCATAGTTTGTTTACTAATATATAACTATCTGACTATTCATGTGTCTTTGTTTTTCGTTCCAACTTAACTCTACTATTAACTATTTATGAAGGTGCTATATGCTTTGAAATTTGTCATTCATTTACAAAACCATAATTTCATAAAACAAGTATACATCGTTTATTTGAAATTTTGTATGTTTTCTTACTTACGCCTGTTAGTCTTCATGGAGGAGCATAGGTGAACGCACACCAGCTCGTTCTAAATTGACTTATCATTATAATGTATGAATGATCAATCAGTAAATTAAATTATACATGTATGTATGTAATGAATAATATGCTCATGAAAATCAAACAATGCTATAAAACATTCTTATCATATCTATGCTTAGCTCTTCCATTCTATCTTATAAACTAACTTGTGAATCTCTTCGCTTTTCAGTTCATCAGAAACCTTTTTTTTAAAAAAAACCCACATAAACTTTGTTATGTTTGATCATTACTTTCTTACAAAATCTATGCTTTACGAATGTGGTGCTATAATGTTGTTAGAAATGGGACCCAGAATGCAAGTCTGGACCTATTCAAACTTATTGTTAATATCAATAACAGGGAGACCTAAATCCTCATATCTGACTTAAAACTCATTAAACAACTTGATGGCTTTATGAACTCAAATAGGTCAATGAATAACATATTGGCGTTTGAACTTAAAGGTACTGAGTTTGAGTCCCAATATGGATACCAACATGGGTATTCAGGTACATTCAACTGATGAGTCTTGGATAAGGCGAGAAGTACTTGTTGAATTCCACTAGTAGCTACAATCCAAATTTACTAAAATTTATAATTAAAAGGTAATATCGAGGTAATCACCTCAAGATGTAAATATATATCGCAATATCAAGTTCAGTCCTTATTATCAACAACAGAAAGATTCAAACCCTTATATGTATTACTTTATTTATTTTCTCTTTCAGAACCAAATATTCATAGTTCAATACAAATTTTAAGACAACATTCACTTTGTCCAACGAAAAAACGATCACGTATATCATTCAGTATTAATGGTAAACACGATATGTTTGGAAATGAAAATAGAGAATCATCTACTCCTGTTTCAACTAAAAATCCACTTTTTATTTTAAATCATGAAGATTCTTTTGTAATGATAAAACCTGGGTTAAATAAATTGTCATTTATAGCTAATGTAAGTCGATTTGTTCTATTTTCTAATACATTTAACTATTTATATCAATAATATTTTGTGATGATGGAGAGGATTTGTAGCTCAGATGAATTTTGTTTTTTAAGCTGGTTGGTTTAGTCCAGTTCAGAGAACAAAACTACATTTAAATGGTATTTTGTCTTTGATAGAATACATTGTTAAGTAACTGCGTTGCAAATCAGTTATACATTACAGTAAAACTAGTGTGTCCGACCAGAGTAACCCGTGACTGGTAAATGAGTTTAAATACACATACTATTATGCATCACATATATATTATAATCGGATCCGTCACCTGTTTCAACTTTGTGTCAATATACTCTTTTAATATCATTATATAATTCCTGAATAAACGGTCAGACTAATTGGCCGAGTACACGTGATTCAGGCGACCCCAACATACCTAGATTGCTAGTATTCTATCATAAATACTCTCGAGATCTTGCTTGAATATGATGGAATGGTGAATATGGGAGTTAAGTGTAAGGTTTTAGATGGAAGTACTAAGTTGATTGACATGGCCATTGAGAATTTCACTTGGATAACACACTCGAGGTCAGTTAAGTCAAATAACTATCTTCGTTGCTCAGAGATATTTATGTGTAGAACATATAAGAGATTATTTTGCAAAAAAAAGTCATAATTAGCTTATTTTAAACTCACATTTAATGTGGTAAAAACAATTACAACAGTCTATTCCTCAAAGCAGTCAAGCCAAAGAATGATAGGTTGAAAATGACTACCCAAACAAAATATTTGTTAGCCAACAAGAGAACAGTTTGATTAATTTAACCAATAAGATGCAAGGAAAACGAATAAATATTAATTACTGATAAATAATAATTATAATATTAGAACTTCACAGTCTATACCGCCTCGAAATGAAGAATCCCTGAGTACTTCTATCATTTCATCTTATCATTATTATCTCTAGTTCATAGATTGAGGTTAGAACTATGATAGATTCAATCAGTATAATTTTAGTACGCAAGTTGATTGGTCTACCAGGGTTCTTGGTACCAGTGTGTTTGTACTCCAGGAATAAGCTGTGGTATGCAAGTTATGTAAAAACCCGGAGTGTTTGGTTCTACTAAAAACCAGTTCGAAATTATCCTATTGCACGGTATATTTACAACAAGCTGATATTATTCAATCTTAAGTTCGGGCATATTTTTTTATTATTGCATGCTTTGCTTTTTTGATGTTCAAGTTAGTCGCTTCATCCGATAAGCTGTGATTGTGGACTGTCCGACCTAAATAATTGAAAGAGCTCAGTTATTCACTAAGATAACTATCAATGAGGACTATGTTATGACGGGATAAAAGGTCAAAATTAGATTGATTTACTTATTGTGATTTTTATTCAACATTAATTCCATTTGATGCAATTTAATGATCACTCAGTATAGTGTTTGTTTCGTTTTCCCGTATGACATTTTATTCTGTATAACATACGACATTCTTGTATGAATTATTAATAAAAAAGGGTGTACAAACCAACATATAAATGAGTGTATTTCCGACTACACGGGTTCGTGATTGCTCGTGCTTCTGGTTGCTTGCGGAATAAATTTCCCCGTCTCGAACATGGACTTTTCTCTAGTTAGCGGGGCTGGGACACATCAGAATAGCCAGCTTATTGATCTGTGATCACAGAGTTTTAGTTCCATTCGCAGACTAGGTAAACTCGTAATCCCTTCAAACATATCAGACTACTAAGTCCACACCCTTTGCACTAATGATTATCATTCTTGTTCTTCCCTATGATATCTTCATTCCAAATTCTTCAGGTAAATTTTAAAGACTGTTCAGTGTGTTTGTGGCGTCATTGGTGGCTGTTGTCATTAGACACAGGTTGTCAGCATGTTTAATATATGAAATTTTCCATTTCGGTTGTAATCTTATATTCATTTCTTCGATAGTGGACCACTTGAAAACAAACTTGAGAGAAGTATGCCTTATTTATTACTCTGCTTTACTCCTCTATACATCGTGAGGTATGATTTATCTTCTTTTAGATAGCCTTTCGGCTAGTCAAGTAACCATTTAATACGATGTTGAATATTGGCAAAAGTATAGATCTTTACTATAGGAATTCTATTTACTTTCAGTTCTTGTCGGTCATCTTTCTCAGATTCGAATAATAATTTTCCTCTTTGTTTTCACCGCTTAAGCATCCGGTTGAAGCATAGCAACCAACTAGGTTAATTTTAAGATCAAATATATTATTTACCGTAATTGTGTCGCATCTATTTATTCGTAATTCGAGACAAAAGTTCTTTTTTTTCCTATTGATCTTTAGTAGTTGGAGAATCCTAGTTGACTTCCAATAAGTTTTTATTCATTTTCTTTCGCTTAGATATTAATTTTTAATCCTGACATTTTTTATTCGTTGTTAAAACTCCTTTTTTCGAAATATTATGATTGAGTTCAGCCTCATTCAGACACTGATATCGTTATAATTTTGGCTTTTCCACCTTACGTTGCTGTCCGAATTTATTGTCCTAATTTCAGTCAGTGCTCATTTGTCCAAGGCCCTGTGTTTAGCTCCTCAAGATTAATCCTATGGTACTTTTGAACTCATTATTTAGCAATAGAGAAGAATGTGCGTTTATCATCTGCTCATATTAGATCACTGATATTTTAATTCTTTCTCAAATTAACGGTTAAAACTATGATATATTTAACCTTATGATAGTGGATTGGTTAACTAGTTATGATTAGTCTACTTCCAACGAAAAATTAGAATGCACAATAGTAGGACGAAAATAACCGATTCTTGTAGTTACGTAACCTATAATATGTGTATGGTTTATGATTTATGAATAGCATAATGGTTAAACCAGTTGGTTTCTTGTGAATTTACTATAACGTTCATTAGAGAGTTAGTTAGTTGATTAATTATTAGTAACCAATCTCATATCTCTGGTCTAGTCCATAAAGCCGACCAAATTTTCCGATCAAGTCTCAGTATAGCCGCCAGTCTAATTGATTCGATATCACATGCATTATGTTTTGATGTAACACGATTGAAAATAGTTAACTGAAAAGCCTATGAACCTAAATTTCTTGCTAGTTGATAATCGTCAACAATAGATACCTGAACGGATGCTTCCTATGGTAATAGAGTTTTCCGCCGACTTACTTCAAACTAAGGATACAAAAGTTATTCAAGAATATGAAACAAAATACACCTGAATCGTTGTTTAGATGTATAGAATATATCTAGATGAAGACCACTAATTAAAATGTCGCTAATACTTTTCACCGTATTGAAAATAATCATTCATATTCATGAAACAAATGACTTAACAGCTTATACAATTTTTTCACAGAACATGTGATTTCACAGAAGCTTTTCTATCGCATTATAGTGAACGAACACTCAGGTGAGGAAGACCAATTTATTAGTTAATACAAATATACACAATGTCTTCGTAAAATATGACAACCATACATTAAATACTTCATTTGCACATCATCCACCAGTTTTCTCTTACAAACTTCATGGTTACTTCATTCCTGTTGTTATTACAATTACTGTATATTTACATTTCTGCTCTCTTCAATTCGATCTTCTCAACTTTTTGTTGTCAGACATTCCACTTTTGAATGATGTTGCATACTACTTATGTAGACAGACATAAGTAGCATACACCACAATATAACCTGAATAAAGATAATTTAACAGTGGGACTGACAAATTTCAACTTCATATAACAGCCAAACTTTCGTAAATGCATCTTATTTATAGCAGGTTGTATTTTTTTAAATACGCTTTCCTTTTTATCATAAATCTTTTATATTTAATTGATGCATATGTCATTGTCACTATTCACAAAGTGAAGTTTCTTATTGAATCCGCTTTTTCTACTTCATTATTGTTAACTAATTGAAAATGTTTAAATATGTCACATACTAGAAGTCTAGTACATGTCATTCTACTTCTGACAACGTCATCAGAATTTATATGCAGCTTATGTTAGAACTTTAAATACAATATATCTGTGCTTGTATTTTCGTTTATCTTTTATATTCTGAAGTAGCTTACAGTGAATAATACAATTTATTCTTTGAGTTATATTTCCCAAATTATTCGATACTTTTATACGCACATTTAGAATAAAATATAACAGTGTTTAATGGGTTAGATTATGGAAACGTCATTATGTATTTGTTAGATTGTTAATATTTGTCTTGTCGTTTTTTTTCCATATACTTTAGGCACCAGGATTTTTAATTCCAGAGAAAATATTCATTAATTGTCTTGATGAAATCAATATCGAATTAAAAGAACCATTAACAGAACAAGAATCTTTAGAACCGTCAATTTATAGTCATTCCGAAGTAAATTTCGTATCAGATATAGATGGTGATGTTTTTGGATCTAGTTGGCGTGATACTGCAATGATGAAAACATTGTTACCTAAACCAGAGATTTCAATATCAAATAACTCGAGTGGTAAACGATATCCAGGTAATTTAGTGAATAAAAATAATGGGTAGTAGTCTTATATTTCTTCCAAAATTTCTCCATTTTCATTCAATATCTACGTATTTCACTACTTTGTGTTTTCACAGATACTACTGAAAACAGCTAAAGGTTTCATAATGAAGCCCCTTTTCTTTCAGCCTGGCATATAGTGTAGCTTAAGGTGAATAACTTGATCCGAATAAACAGTTATGAAACAATATGTTCAATATCTATTAGCATTATTATGACCAGCAATAGTTTAGTTATTGCCTGAAGATTTCTAATAACCAACTTTTTCTCATGAGTAGTAGAATTGGCTGCTTTGCTTTTTACTATACAGTTCAAATCACTGACTTAACATGATCTCTTTTTCTTGTACATGCCTTAAACTACTTTAATAAATTCATGTTAAAAAATATTTTTTTCCAATGGGTACTTATGATAATTAGGAGTATTTGAATTATAGTACGAACTAAGAATCCCAGAAATAACGCAATTAGATCAAGAAGTACTCATTAAGCACGAACGAATGTACTGTATTTAGAATTCGAAATCAAGCATTCAACAAGTACAAAGGAATCATTAGTTCATTCAAACACCAAAGTACTACACCTGGATCATTTCAATGAGGAAGTCAAATTCACGTCACCGGTACCTTCTAATCGTATAATTAATCATGTAGCCTGTTGTTCACGCATAAATAACTTCCTAAAATTAGGGACGACTGAATAATTTTGTTCTGTTACCTTGCTAGGTTGGTCCAGTTTGTTTATATTGGTGACCCAATTTATCTATGTGGGCTGAAGTATTTGTAAGACTAAAAGAAGCGTCTTAAAATTATTGGGTGGAGTTGCACTGCTGACTGTACTAGTGTGTGACAACTGTAAGGTGATATCTTCATACAACCAACAAAATGAACCACTAGGAAATATTATTAGCAGTTAAACATTATTTATATATTCCAGCTACATATCTGTTTAAACAACTATTACGACAAAGTAAACAGGTTTTGTCGGTCCTATCCTGTAGACTTGATACTCAATAATGATATTAGTGGGACTGGGCACTAGATTAATAGGCTTAACAAGACACAATACTCGATCAATCCAGCCACTCAACTCATTTATCCAACTACAATCAAGAAACAGATTAAGTCTGCAGATGAATTTATCAGCAGACCAGTTCAAAGTAATCAACAAGTGGAACGAGACTGAAATCGGTTTTATGTATGAAATAGTCTTGTATGTTTATTGTCCCCGGATATGTTTGTCTTCTCTCATAAGCCAATCACGGTTTGACTTGACTGACTTATCAACAACCTCAACAGAATTATTGAGACATGTGAAAGATGTTTCACTTTTTGAATGTGAAACTTTTCAGTATTATGCCTAGATCAATTTACTTGTTGGATTGTTTGAACTATTTTCATTTAGATATCCAACACCCAGATACTTAAAATATTAATTATCTACTCTGTGAATCATTTTTGAACTTATTCTTAATCTCTTAGTTTAAAGTATACTCTTTTTTTTTTACTTTAATTATCATCTATAGTGGTGTTTGGTACATGTCAACCAATTCCAGTTCAATTAAGATTAGGCAAACTGGGTTTATCAGAAGATTGTAAGTTAAGCACAAGTCTATATCGTATTTGTTCAAATAATAAAAATTTTGTATTCAAGACTAAAGAGGAAACAAATTTCATGAAAACTTATAACAACACTAATGGTAATGATGGAAATGAAACAATTTTCAATAATCAATCCAGTACCACTATTGATGGTGGTTATCAAATACATAATCAATATAGTGAAAATGATTATTCACTAATTTCTAATTCATTAGAAAATCATCAAGAGGAACATTTGCATAAAAAGCATCAAACTTTATTTAGTCAATTTATTTTAGAAGATGGACCAGTTGATTTTATACGAGAATATAATCCGTTATCAAAAAGTTTAAAATGTAAAATTAATCATCCTATGCCAACATTTCCACCTGGTTGTTGTTTACAATTAAGTAGACCATTATATCTATCGGCTACATCTTGTAATGATCAAGTAAGTACATATATATATATGTATTTCTTTAAGTAAATTGATTATTTTTCATTGTAATGATGTTTTTTTTTATTATTTTCATTTACGCTGAACCTTGTCATCAGTATATTGATTATGTAAATAATTAGTTATTCTTATTTATTTATTTTAACACATAGATATTGATACAAGGAGGCACCAAATGCATATGCGCCACACAAATCTCATTTGATATGTGTCAGGGCTGTGATACTGCTCGGGTGCCCAAACTGAAGCAGTTGGTTTTCTTAGGGGGTCACTCTCCGAGCCTTCGACCTGAAATTCTGATCCACAAGGCAGTGGAACATCGTCAGGAGATGCAGTCCCATGTTAGCCGGTGACCAACGATTGATTCTTACGCCATTTGTTCCCGCAGGATATTGGAGCCCATGTACACCATTGATTTGGAATCCGGTTAAAGCGCCGGACATTCGCTTTTCGTTCTCTCAATTTCGTAAACAACACCCCCACCACAAAAAGGCAGTGAATAGGACTTCCCTGGCAAAGGCTATATACTCGTGACTACGTGAGAGCATTTCGAGAGGGAGAGCAGACTTCCCCCACTCTCGACTGTACCAGGGCATTATTCATACCTTGCCATATCGTTTTTTTTATATGAAAACGTTTAGGTCTATAATTCTAGAGAATTTATACCATTGAAATTACCCTCGAAGACTTGTGAAATAAACTTATGCATCATCATAATAGCTTATAGTCAAGTTATCGTATGCATGAGTACCTGACTATTATCAAACAGCACATCCCTCTTCATTTTTCAATGATAGCTCTTGTTCTCTAAAACCAACTTTGAATATGCAAATTTTCCGTAATCAAACTTTCTGCTTCATGTCTTCCATACGCTTTACATCTTTTTTTTACTGGTTGAACCAAGAAAATCAGCAGGATAAAATTTACTAACTTTGTCTGACAGACTATGCCCATGTGACGCGAGAGTCGTCATTATTAAGTACTTATCCATCCGATAATGGGGAAAAGCCGTTCATTTATCTTTAAACGTCCTTATACGACCGTGAATTGATAGTCTCTTCAAGAGAAGTGCTTTTCTGCTCGCTTAACGTGGCAGGATTCTTTCAACAAAAAATAAAGAATTAAGGTAGATGATATATCTTGCTCCTTGATTCTCAACATATCGGTTTCAAGATATGTAGTAATTGAATCTACTGCTGTTGGTCTTTTGTTTTGTAGATTGTTTCTGTGACTTGGTTATTTCCTAGGAAAACCCAGTGATTCAATTTGACTATGTGGTATGTATCACAAGCCCCTCCTACAATAAGGTGCATTATTTATTCAAATTATTTGCATTTTACTTATAATCATACTCAGCTTATACTGTTTTTGTACTCAATAGTTAAATAATGAATTTTAGTGTAAACGAATGAATGTTCATTATAATCAATAAAGAGTTTTTTTGTTTTAGTTTGCACTTTCAATGCCTAGTGGACATTATTGTATTCTACCAATAGATATTATCAAACCGCTTGGATTCAATTTGAATATATTCCCTTTACCTAAAACATAGTAAGTGAATGATAATATGCTTACTAGTTATATATTTATTGTTAACAAACATTACTTCTTGAAGTGTTGGGAAGATTATATACCTCAAAAATGAATATGCTCCAAATTGTGTTGCATTTTTTGTACTGAATGCTATATTAAGAAGTTTCCATTATTGTTGGACATCATGTGAAGAATAGCGCATACACCTACTTGAAGGTTATTTACCCAAATTATTATTGATTGAGTCAAGGCTTACGATATACCATCATCTGTACTGGCCACGTTATAGATACGCTCCTAGAGATCGTCTGACTTTTTAGGGAATGAAATACTATTAGGATATTCAATTATATACCTGAAATACGAAGACGACGCAGTCATGTTGACAAATTAAGTACTTACTTACTTACGCCTGTTACTCCCAATAGAGCATAGGCCACCGACCAGTATTCTACATCCCACTCTGCACGAATTCTCGAGTTTCATTAATCCTGCTTTAACTGCAGAATGTTGCTTTAAAGCTCAACATTGTTAACTCCTCAGTCTGACTATAAGCTGTACAATTATGAAAAGCCAACCTGGTTGTTACCAACTTTTGCCCTGTGCTTATTCACGAGGATCTCACAGCTTAGAACGTCTATCAATAATGACAAACCCATGTTTCATCAACCAGTTTTCACTACTACAAATATTTAATCCATATAATAGTCAACTCACTTGGTAGGTCGTAAATAAAAGTCAGGCAGCTCATAAACTTCATACCTATTCAAGAAATTACGAAAATTCAAGCCGATTTATTGATGTCACTAAGTTAACTCGACCGAAGCAACCGTATTTAAACTTGTGACAAAGTAGTTAAGATTCAGATGAATGAATTTCTAAGCGTCTACATCATCTGCAGTTCATTCTGATATCCTAAAGACTTTACAATGCATTCTACAACCCTCAATAATTTTCATATGCTCGAGCCAGTATTTTCTCTTTTCGACAAACAGATTTGCAAGTATAAATAGAGAATAAGTTGACGACAATCACATTTTTTTACGTACTAGTTTAGATAAGTGTTGTACATGTTGAAAAAATTTTCACTGTTACATTCTCTTTTGTAAAAATGATATTTAGAAGCAACTATGAAGCGTTATTAAATTTAATTTGTGGTATTTATCTGACCCTAAATATGTTTATCAATATGTTAGTTCTCGTTCATATTTCGTGCTACGCGATAAACCATCCACAATCCTGAATTAGGATTAGAGTGAATTAGTGTTTCTGAATGTTCTATGTTGAAGTGAAACAATCTGAAAAGATTTTAAGAACTATCACTTAATAAGTTATGACATCGAAAAGCCTATCATGATATTTACCCACAGAATATTAACAATCTGATGCATTGATGCATATGTAAATGGACTATTTGACAAAGCAAGGCAAACATTCCTACAATCAAAGAACATATGGAACTCAAAATAACTGTTAGACAACACCAAAGTTAGAATTTTCAATACAAACATCAAGACAGTTTTATTGTACTGAGCTGAAACTAAGAGAACTAATACAACCATCATCAAAGATGTACAGGTATTCATAAATCGTCGTCTATGCAAGATACTGCGGATTCGTTGGACATGCACCATCAGCAATAACCTAATATGGCAGAGAACAAAGCAACTTCCAGTTGAAGTAGAGATTAGAGAAAGACGCTAGAAGTGGATAGGTCAAATTTTACGAAGACCAACAAACTGTATCACAAGGCAAACCTTACGTTGAAATCGTCAAGATAAAAAGAAAAGAGGCAGATAGAAGAGGACAGTGCGTCGTGAATTTCAGGCAGACGCCAAAAGAATGAATAGCTCTAGGGAATGACTGGAAAGTGAAGTCCAGGACAGAGTTGGCTGGAAATTACTGTTCAGTGGCCTGTGCTCCAAGAGGGTTAACGGACGTATGTAAGTAAGCTGTACCGAATAGTTCCAAGTCAATTGATAAACATATTGAATATATCTACCGACGCAAACGCTTGGTCAGTTTTTCTCCTGTTACATGCGTTTTCTAAATTTTTCAGCTCCTTATACTGCCATAACCTAAGATAGTTAAAAAAGACGCTCATTCATTTTTGTCTATTGTTTTCAGGAAGATACAACTTTTCACCACATACTTCCTAACCAAAATTAAAACTTTTTCTGTTGTTCATTTTTATCCACACTTTGACTTTAGCGTTATCTTCAGTCTAAACATTACTTGTGTGGACACTGACCCAGATTCAATTATAACACCAGAAGCATACTGCAGTCAAAATCTACTTTGCAAAGACCCAATAACATTTGAATTGTCTAATATGCGATTCTATATTTGTGCTTCAAAACTTTACTTATCCAGACGTCTAGCACTAAGTAGTTCCTTTTCAAATGGTCAGAATCAACCTTATAATCGTCAACTGAAGTCACATAGCTATCTCTCGGTGGAAGATAATCATCAAATTACTGGGGATTTTACTAAAAATGATGTCCTAGAAACAGGTTCCGCGGACAAATTATATGATACTGTCAGTGAAACCATTGAATCTTTAACTGGTGACCTTCTGGACAATAGAATCACCAAGGCTGTATGTTTATCCTTGTTACTGTATTGTTATTGTGTTTTTTAATTCTGCAGATATCTCTAACTCAATGTTACCTTATGGTGTAGGCAGTGGTTATCATCCACATCCTCATATTTCGGATCACCACATACTTTATTAACGGTATTTATTGGTTGAAACTTTTTCACAATATTCAAGTTATACATCTTCAAGACATGGAAATGCTGAGTTGACTATAGGAAAACTTCTAAATTGCACATATCAAGAAGATATGTTCAATTTTTTAGTCGCTAAAATTATTTTTAATTGTGAATACTAGATCATTTCCTCTTTGGTTAAGATCACAGAATGATATACTGAAGAAATTTTGAAAAGTTCTTCCTTCCCTTGACCAATAAATTTGATCATTGTAGATAGCTATCTATTTATCGTTTCAGTAAAATATCAAAATAGTAAAATTTTATAGTTCCCCTCGTAACTCTTTTGTTATTAAAAAGATTATCCAAGAAACTGAGATCATTGTTCTCTTAAACAATGATTTGGTCGATGGATGTAAGTTAAAAACTAGTAATTATAATCCTTTCAATTCTTTGTTTGTACAGTCGCATCATAGAATGATGAGTAGTTTAAACATCCCCTTTTAGTCAAATATAAACAACAAACTGTAAATGTTAAAATTAAAAGTTTTAATTATAAGAAAAGATAGATAGTGGTTAGAAGTGGAATCCAGGACGCGCGTTTCGTCCTATCTGGGACTCGAACCCAGTGCCGTTCGCTGCCAACGCCATCCACTTAGCTCAGTCAGTCAGTAACAACGTAGAACTTCGTACATACGTACATCAGTTCGAGTTGCCATACCACATTAGCACACAGACACTTAGCTACTGAGTCTTGATAGCTACTTGCTTGTACAATGGGGTGAAGTTTAAATTCAATTGGTATTGTTTACTTGAATCTTCTCATTGATGTTTAGGACTGCAACTAATCAATCTCTTATTAGCATATGTGCACATAAAAGTTTTAATTGTTTTATTTGCAATGTTAGTCACTTTTATAGAATCATGAAATATTGTTGTACGTTATCTATATCAGAAAAAAGAATAATTTCTGTTATTCAGATTAATTTTTCAATATGAATCGAATATATGGATGATGTCACGTTAACTGGGTATTCTTCTAATAGTTCTGTGAATATTTACTTAAGAATATGCAGAGGCCAGAACATTAATTATCGAGAGAGTTTGTGTTGTTACTATTTGGTTAATTCGATAAACACCCTATGAGCAAGCACCACCGGAAAGGAAATGAGTCCAAAGAATTGAATGTATATTTTCTGAGTGATGATCAATAAGTGGGCAGAGTTTTCACTGATTATCTGTGTTTACAACCAACGAGAGGATAGATAAATATTAAAGTGCAGATATATGTTCAATCAAACTCAAAAACAGTTATGAAAAGTGAATCAATTGTCTAAATTACAGTAATTAGTTAATGTTAAACTATAATAGGCTTTTCTTGTGACCTGGAAAAAATAGGTTGTACAAATAAACTGTAATAATAAAGGCTTACTATTTTGGTGGAGTTTTGTTCTCTGAGAAAACCATCCAGCTCAGAGACACGACCAAACCATCCAGCTCAGAGAACAAAACTCCACCAAAATCATCCACCTGAGCTACAAATTTTCTCCACCATCTCAAAGGCTTACTATCCTATGTATTTTATGTTTGTTATTTTGCTGAATGCTGATTCATATTCAAGTAGGAGAGGATCTTCATGTAAATCTTTCTTCTATACCATCATGCACTATAAGGATTTCATTTTCAGAAATAGTCATTTATTTAAGGTATCTGATTTTCATTGCTGATCTAATTAAGATCATCTCATGATTTAAACTATGAAAAAACTACAATCTCCACATAATCATGTATACACTAGTGACTAGCTTCAAATAGCAATTTTAGGGTTCTAGTGAGAGTCTGTGATCAATAGGTTTCAATAATGTTAGGTGTCAGATAGTGATCCATCGCAGACAATGGGAGATATACACGTAATACAATGGAATGATTCAACTTAGACATACCATTGGATGCGCCGGGTCAATGATCTAGGAGTTAATGTGTCTCATATGAAAACGAAAGTTCCAAGTTCGGCTAACTTTGGGAGGGGGGTCGTGGATATGAATTGCTGAAGAGTCCCACACTAAAAGGAAACAACTATACAGTGCTTCCTCGTTTTTAGTAGTGACCTAGTTAGAAACAGTAAGTGATTTAGAATATAGAAATTCTATAATCTCCACAAATTCCTTTATATTGTATCCATTATTTACTGATCAAATTAACTAATCTAATGAAAACTTTTTCTCTTCATGTTTTCTTATATCATAGTATGTCACTCATTTAACACCATTTTCAATACCTTGGCGTTTCAAATCACTAGAATATAATAATTTTATGAAATTTTGTAAAGAATCTCATTGTCAACCAATTGGACGTTTCGAATGTACAATGAATCGAATTGGTAATGTTAAAAAAGTTAATCAAGATATAAGAGTGGATTGTGTTATTAGACAACAGATATAACTGGAATTTATCATTTAAACCTGGTATATATATTTTTCTTAGTACTTTTGATATAAATACCTTTTTAAGTGTATTATAATATTCAAGTATTCAATACTGACCTTATCAATTTAAGAAATCTTACTTCTTTAAATGTGATATGAAAGAAGACTGATTTCGAACTTATTTCCAAATTCATGATTTTTAAATCTTTGACTTTTATTTACTTATGATTGTTTATCATGCAAAAAAAGAAGAAGGAGAAGAAGAAGAAGAAATATTGTGATGCATATCTATCTATTCCATTTATCTGTGATACTATGATAACTTGAACTGTTGTTCACTAGAACTCTATTTTGTATATATATATATACAGACAATATGAGATATTCTGTTTTCTAATATAACATTCTCTGATTATCTTTTAAAACGAAACAACTATTCTTTTAACACAAAAATTATTTGCATCACATGTATCATTTTTGATTATAAGTAACTATTTAGGCAAATTCTAAGGATTTCAGTTAGATACGTATATTATTGGATACGTGTATTCGTAAAATGTTAATTACAAATAGATTTGATCATTGTCTAATTATGATTTAATAGATTAAAATACACTAAATATAACCATTTAATGCAACAAATTGATATTTTCTTTCAAGATGGCGTTTAAAAAAAGTGTAGTAATCCAATTGCTACTAAATTTTTAATGTTTTTTTCTATCTTTCATGTAAAATGAACAAATAACCACATCAGTTTTGGTATTTTACAACAACAACAGAGATATCAATTCGTAAATACATTACCGTATAAAATATTTTGAATTTATGTTTATACATATATGCAATAGGCAATAACGACTAATGAAGCAAAGCAACATTTCATCATTTGTAAGTTATATTCGTCACAGATTGAGCTCAGTTAAAGTACTATTAAAAGGCATTAGGGTGCACTAGATATGTCTCGTTATAGTACGGAATTTCCCATCAGTGTTCGAAATTATGACACGTGGTCCACGATTAACTATCATTCACTATTTGTATGTTTAACAAAAATATATGACTACAAATTCCCAACATCTACCTTCGAGAGAAATAACCACTGAAGCGGGATGAATTTTGAATATTTATAAGTACACATACTACCAAACACAAAGGTTAATAATAAAAATATATGAAATTCAATATGGATGATTGGAAGAAGAATACCACTTGACACATTGACAGTTGAATGCATTTTCCACTTAGACATACAACAGATTTACACACTTTAGAAGAGAAATATTGTACATTATGAAGAAGATTTACCTTCTTACAATAGGTTGTAAACTATAGTTGAATTGTTATTAAAGTGTGGAAATGTGTTACTCGTAAGCTAGAAAGAAATAAATCACGTAAGATATAACAATATCTCCACCTGAAGGTATATATATAGCTTTAAAAACAAACGGTAAAATTATCTATTATTCTGAAACGATATACTTTACATACTCATGAACTTATAAAAATAGAATCATCAAAACGAATACAATCAGTTTACTCATGGTTAAATGTATTGAAGTAAAACAAACAATTTGCACATGAAAGTATCATTATTATTAAAATTCTACTGAACCAGTTATCATAGATACAATATGAGTTTCTATCGGATGACAATAGAGTATAGTCATATTGTATTGTATTTCGCTTTCTAAATGTCGAAAATCGTATAATTCCTTGACAAACCATGGAAATGTTGGTGGACCATAAAAAATAAATGTTTGAGGACCACGAATTTTTCGTCTGCATTCATAGAATAAATATAAAACAATTAGAAGAACTAATTTTTATTATATAACGAAATAGACGGTCAAGATTCTAGTTTACATTAATAAACTAAGATATTAAAAGAAACTGGAAAAAAGCCTTTAATGGCTTTGTAACTACGGCGGCCTGCTTGAGCATCTGGGCTACCTGTTTCTGCCATTTAAATATTTCAACAAGTTATCTATTTTTGTTTGTTTTAATATATCATTATGTCTATTAATCACATAACCTATTCTGCTGCGTTTCTAAAAAGTGTACAACCTTTCGTTGTCAATATTATAAAAAGCTAAATAAGAGAGAATTTGGTTGCTGGCAATATACAACGAAAATAATGTACATTATTCAGATGTTCATTTACTGGACTGCTAACATCTAACTGGCGATCACTCAATATTTATCGCCAGGACCGACAAAGAAAGAAACGGAAACTTGTTGAAGTACTCTGGTTATCATGAATTGTTGTCTGACTTTTCAGGAAGTCGCAGAGTTCCATTTAGATAATACATTATTAGTAAAAAAACGTCTTGATTTACTATCAATCTCCAATTAACGTAATTTGGTTTATACCATCAAGATAAGCAAAAATAAGTGCTCAGGAATAAAAATCAACATGGATAATCAGTCAGCCAAATGTACCATAAAACATAGTATATGAGTACATCGGCTCAAGTTGCCATACCCTATTAACACAGCTAGAAGATATTGTTGGAGCGAATCTCACAGTTATTTATTTATTTGAACATAAAAATTGGTACAAAGGGGCACCGAAGGTATATGCACCACACAAGCCACTTGATTTGTGAGTGGGCTGTAATATTTTCCGGGTGTCCGAACCGAAATAGGTGGTTTTCTTAGGAAGTCACTCCCGGAACCTTCGATCCATCAGTCGATGGAGCAACGTCCGGAAATGCAGTTACATGGTAGCCGGTGGCCAACAATTGGTTCATACCCCATTTGTTCCCTTAGGATCCTGGAGCCCATGTTCATCACTGGTTTGGAATCAGGGTTTTCCAACTCCCCAAAGTGAACTTTCCGTATCCACCAACCTGGTTACAGCGCCGGATATTCACTTTTCGCCCTCAATTTCGCAAACAACACACCCACCTCGGAAAGGTAGTGAGTAGGACTTCTCTGGCAGTGACTGTATACGCGTGGCTATGTTAGAGCATTTGAAGAGGGAGAGCTGACTCTCCCTACCCTCAGTTGTATCAGTAGTAGAGATAGTAAATTTATAAGTGGTATTAGAAAAAGCTAAATATAAAACACACGATTCAAGAAGAATGTATAAATTAGTAAAATAAGAAACTTAAGATCTACGGGAAGACAGAGAGTAAATGCACCTATGCCATCGCGAATGATTCCGAGTCATGTTAACCAAAGTCTTATGATTGGTTACGATAATAATGCCAAGACCAATAAGATAGCGTGGACCTATCTACATGGCTCAGTCGAATAGGCAGTTCCTAATGTACTGGTTTTGTTTTAGTTTGGGTGCCCCCAACTTTCTTCAACCCCATACATTATCCATCACCACGCGTCAAAGTAGTCGATGGATGAGCATATGTAATACATGTCCTAACTACCTTAGTCGATAAAGATTCACTACGACGTCAATTGATTCGCCATACTCAACATTCTGCGTCTAACCTTATAGTTGCTAACTCGATGGTCTCGAAATATACGAGCAATGTTTAGTAGAGACCTATGGTCGTATACCAATAACCTACGAATATCCTGTTTCTAAAAACCATGTATGACATTTGTGAAAAAGAACACAGCGAACTGCTGCGTGGTGAACTCGTCCTTTCGTTGGGAAACGAATATTTTCCTTACGCCACGAATGAAAATCCGGCATAAGTCAGCCGGGTTTTTTTAATCCGTGCTGAGATTTCAGAAATAAATGACGTGATCGACACACTCAACTACTTCACTCCGTATCATGAGTTCAGCTGCTATCACAAACTAGTCAGCCCTGAAGCAATATTTGCATTCAAATGCAGAGGTGCATCCCAAATATAACAGCATTTTTGTTTAAGGTGGTCAGGAGATAGTATATTTTCAGTTTCTTCACGAAATAGAATTATACCATTTGCGTATTCCAAGTCAAAAAGAGAATCAACTGATAGAAGATCGACTCCTGATAATTTAGACAATGAGTGTTATCTCTGAAATCATGTGTATGACAAAATTAAATAAAAATGGGGAGAGCGGACAACCTTAACGAACACCACTTAAAGTTATCAACTCCGACGACAGTTCGTCAGAAGCTCTAACTTGACCAATAATGCTTGAGTAGAGAACATGTGCTTGTTTGGTACGCCTTCCAATGAAAGACACTGCCATAAAACCTATCGATCTACAGAATCAAATGTTGACGTTAGGTCGAGAAATACAACTATGATTGAGGTTCTGTAGGTACGTCTGTGCTCCAGAGCCTGGAGAGGTGAAAATAATTTGTCCATACAACCACATGTAAATCTTAAACCAGTTTTCCCGAGTTCACTTCTTACAAGCCCTAGTTAAGAGCTGGAGTATTATTGAGGATAATATCTTAAACACTGTGTTAGCAAAACTTATTCCCTTTCTCATAGACTGCAGCGATCATAACCGGTCAGATGAGATTAAATCCAATTTCCAAACCCTAGTTAAAATCTCACTCAACTTAAAAGCTAAAACTGGACCACCGTCCATAAACATCTCAGGAGATAATTTACCCGAGCCTACTACCCTCTCTCGTTTTAGATCAGCCATGCTTTTTCTACTTCCATAAGAGTCGGGGGATTTATATTGGCATCCCATTCATTTTACGTGGTAAAATTAAGCAAATGAAGGGTAGCTGGAAAGCAGTTAAAGTGTTCTGCCCATCTGTGCAATCTCCAAAATGAGTGGATCACTGTCCCACTTTCCAGAAATAGTCTTACTACTTACCAAATACTCATGAGCTACTTCTTCAATAAATCCGAAAAGTTGTCTACTGTTGCTTATAGCCGTCCCCTTTTCCATCTCTTTTAACTTAGCTACCCGCTACTGCTCACAATCATTGGACTGACTTTTGTCAGTTTATTTTTAGGTTGCCTACACTCTTCGTTGTGTTTGGAGCATGACAGTACGAGTTTCCGGGCATTTGTGAGTTTAGTAGACGCTGCTGAAATCCCCTGATCTTTCATAACTCTTTGGTTATAGCCATTGGTAGATACCACTGTTTTCATAGTTGTCTGAATATCATTCCAACCTACACCGGGTTGGTCATCACTATACCGATTAACCAACCGCTCTTCTATATGTTCCCGAGATATACTCTTGATATTGTTGCCGTTAAGTCGAACTGTAAATGGTTTTCTGGCTGTGGTCATTTAGCGTCGAGTAAGAGGTAAACAAACTCATCCTGGTATTGGAATACGGTCAGAGCCTAGACATGTGCTTCAGAATGGTCGGGGATTTTCTATCGAACTGATAGCGATATACTTGGATAAGAGTAGGCTCCATCTGTATGAAGTAGGCTTTTCAGAGTGTATGTACGTATTACGGTATCGTAACATTATATTTGTGATTTACAAGTACCGACTGCTGTTTTATGTAGAATGCTCTGGGAACAATAAACCATCTCAATAAATAATACTCGTTCTATAGAAAATAGATTTTAAGACCAGTGATCAAAGCAATGAAGAGTGAAAATTTGTGACTCAGTACGGGCATGAGGACTTTATGGAATACAATCATGGATAACTGACACCACTCTTCACTCCTAATGACTAGCATATATTCGCTCACCTCAATGAGAAGTATTTGAAGAAATGCAAACCAACTGTAAGTTAATAGAGGAGGGAAAGTGAGACGCTCTAAATCAAGGATTAGTATTAAACTTGAAGAGAAATTAGTTTAACCTATTTTAAGCCATTTCTTGATTATGTAATTACGATCATTTTGAATTTTAACTAAAAATGCTTGATTTCCGAGGAGAGTATACGTTATTCACAAACCATTGAGATGGTAGCGAATTATTGTACTCAACTGAGTTAAGATATACCACTAGGCATATTTCGTTATTCAAATGACCGTTTTAATTTTACAATCTAACGACCCTAACAAGCAGTAAATGTACAGTTTAAACTGAAATACAACACAACAGTACAAAAAAAAACATGCGAAGTGATGGTAGAAACGAACAGTAAAATCAATACTGGCGAGCCATAATAGGAATAGTAAGTACTCACCTTCGAAAGAAGTAATAACGCTCAGTTATTAACAAAATACGAATACGACCATCACCAAACAAGGTACGAAATCGTTCAGCTTCTGAGTCTTCTGTATATCTGAAGAAAAATGTAAAAACCCCTAGCAAAGTAATTTGAAGTTACAGTAATGCAAAAGAGACAAATATCAATCGCATAGGTTTTTGGCACAGATATGTGCGTTGGTTTGAGCTGCAAAATGTCATATGTCTAGCCCCGACAGTACTTCCTCAGTCATCTCACCATACGCGATCAATGCTTTTAAGGGACCTACGATCAAATATTAGTAAAGGCCATGTTTCACACCCATAACGTAGAAAAGGGGGAACTGATGAACAGTATTAAAGCCCTTTGCTTGGCAGATGGATATCTTGCCTATGCCACAAGTGATACAAATAGTCAAACCCCAACTGACCCTTCTGAATCCGAGCCCAGATTTCGCTAGACAGCAATCTACCAGACCTGAGACGTCTAAGATAAGTGAAGTGGTTAGTGCACACAGATACTTCAACGAAAATACGAGATGTACAAACCGAATAAAAATATTTGGCATTATATTTATGCTCGTGCACGCTAATATGTTGAACACCACTTTAAAATAATTAAGACCGTTTCACCGATGAGAAAGTTTTCACCTCCTTAAAGTGATAGACTGATGCTTTGTCTTGTTTAGGCTATCATCTCATTTAACTAGAAGATTCTACTACGTATAAATTTTTAAAGAAATAATGATTGATAGGGTAGCTGTGGTAACAGAAATATGTCTAATCAGCTATAAAATAACAAATATACTTAAAAACATGGTCTATACATATGCAAGATGTGAGCTTAGAACGACTTGCGCATATGTTGTGAATAATCGAACACCTTTATTTCAACAGGATCAAGTTTTATCAACCTATAGAGCTGCTACTGTCATGATAATGTAAACTGGTGGTTTTGTTTCCAAAATGACCTACATTAGTATATACTAATCAGACTTTTACAAGGAATCCCATGCTTGGACGAAACGACCGTCCAGTGTTTCAAGGCTTTCAATGGTGGTCTAACATTGATTGGTTCGTGGTATCAATTAAAACTGAAGGATCTCCACAACCTTATACTGGTAATAAGTAAACTGACATTTTCCTGCTATACTCTCAGTAGCACTTCTAAAACTGGTCAGATACACGAATAGTTTGATTACTTCTATAAGTTGACTATTAAGAGTGAATCCAAACAAAACGCCGTTTTATATGTACATTTCACTTGAATAGTGTTAATCACATAACACCCACATACTCTGGGACTTGATACGTTTACACTGTATCTCAGAGTAAAATGATAATGTCCATTCACTCACTATAGAACAAGTCTACATTATCACTATACAATTCAGTTTAACGATGTTTCTAGCATTTTTAATGGTAGGTTTAAATGGAAATGGTAATGTGTGAGGTAGTTGAGACCATTTTGTAAGCCTGTTGATAAGAAACTGACTACCAAGTTGTTCTCCACCTTTTACTTCATTTAATTAACAAGCTAAAAAGATAGGGCAAAACATCCACTTGAAAATTTATACGGTAAATAGTGATAAAAGTGTTTATATTGTGTAAAAAATAGGCTTTGTGACTACCTCCTACGCCATATCATAAGGCATTAGTAACTATGTAGATTATTTACCTAGTACAATATCCAATATTAATCCACGCTTTTTAATGGGGGTTACTGATATTGTAAAGCTACCCAAACCAGGGTAAACAGAACAGGGTTTGAACATTCAGCTTACTGAGGTTGAAAGTCGAATATATTACACAAAAATATCCAACTTCACATCGTAATGTGTAAGAAGGATATGATACTCCCTGAACACCTGGAGAGAAGCAAGCTTACCTTTCACCTTAATAGTATAATAAGATTAGTTAACAGCAGGGTAATTAACATTAAATTTTTTTAAAAAGAACCCACTCATTAATACAACAAAAATCCAAAGATTCAGCAAGTAAAATTTGGCGCAATTCTTCAAGATCGTAGAAATCTGGCACATATATAAGAACACGAGGATCTGAACCTCGACGTAGCCTAGGTAATATTCGTTGTTTAAAGGCATTTAATCGAGCTATAGAAACATTACGTCCTGCTGAGTAAAAAATGTAATACAGAAGAGAGAAATAAAGATTATGTAAATATATGAACAAAAACAGTCATTAAAACCCAAAGCTTATCATAAAAGTCTTACATTGAACTAACCATGAATATTTAATGAAAGAAAGGGAAATCAGAAATTTGGGTTTTCATTCTTCTAGAAAAATTAACATGTACATTTACTAGTCGTCTTATGGTACTTTTTATATAGTAGTAATTATAAGCTACTTTTTAATTGATTATTTGTCATCGTAGTATTACCGTTCACACTAATTGTAATCAACTAACTATAAGACTTTTACTCAACTTTGTATCAGCAATATTTCAGTTATTTTTTACCTATAAGAGGTCTGTTAACTAGAGTATTATAGTTTATTCATATAAACATGTGAGTAATATGTAATAAGTAATAATTAAAGGTACTTATGAACAATTAATTGGCTTTCTGATGTTCTGATTAGAGGGTATGGATATGTGAGGATTCGAGTGGTATATCGATCGCTTGTGTGATGAATACAATTAACAAGAATAATGTGAACTTAATGGCATAGATGAGAACATATCAATATTCTAATAAGATTATAGTCTTTTCAGGACAAACTACATTAGTTTGTTTAGTTCAGTCATTTAACAATTAACACTGAAAATGAAACGGTGAACTACACCACTTATATGAGATCATAATCCAATCTTATCGAGTTTTTCAATTTTCTAACTGATACTACTAAGATACTAAGATGATAATTAACTTAACATTCTAAACGACAACTTACATAAATATGCGTAATCAGTGAATCCAAGTGTTTTAGTAGATAATAATAATGAATTTGTTGATGAATCTATTTTTAAGGTATTAGAAAGGCAATGAAGAGAATTATCAGTTGTCGTCTTAGGTGATATTTCTATTTCATCATCTGAATCTGATTGATTATTTTCATTGACCAATTTTGTAGATGATTTAACAGAAATTTGTCCAGGAACTACAAATGAAATTAAATGTAACTTGAAGTTATAATTTGTTAATGATTTATCTCCTTCTTTTATATCATTCATATCTGAATGTTGACGTTTCTGTCCAGTTCGAATAGATGCTTTCAATCCAGGAATACGTACCCAATCGGGTAAAAATGTTGGATATAAATCAGGGTAATGTGATAATGGTGGTATATAATTCATGCCTTGAAAATCTAAAATACAATGAAAATAAAAGAAACCCTCTAAAATTGATAAAATGTCAAAGAATCAAGTCTTAATTGATTAGAGATTAAGTGTGATCTACAAACTAATACCCTATGACATTTTATCGTGTTTATTGATGATGTCTCTAATTTCTGATCAATCGGTCAACTTTATCATTTCTCGGCTATTCCATTTTATCTATGAATAAGTGTTCTTTGCATTCATTCTAACACAAAGAATAATTCATTCAGCAAATTATTAAATTTTAATTCATAACGTTGACGATGGGAATGAGTGTGATTAATTCACTATGGATGCATAGAAACTATTATGAATTCAGTTAATAATAGAGCCGTAGATGTAACTTATGGAAACGCTTCTAAATGAGTTAAAAAATTTGAAAATCACTCACAAACTATCAATTTAGAATCAAATATAATTCAGAAGAAGGAATGCATTATCGAGGAAGATCTAAGTTCATGAAACAGTATAACTGTCGTTGGAGAATCTCAAAGTTACTGTTTATCCATATATAGTCATAGTATTACAGTCAAAGTTTCCTAGAAGTTCCTCTCCAAACTCAATTCACAACAGAAATATAGATAAGTATGAAAAATCCTATATATATATACAGAAAAGATATATGAGGATTAAAAAAATGGTCTACAATTTACCTTACATCGTCACATCCATCACATGGTACACAGTACATACTCGTACCTTAATTTTAAGAGCATTTTCGATTTTGAATGACTAATTACAAAAATTTAACTAAGGAAAGGGTAGTGGTAGTTGTGTATATGGAGAGAACATGATTGACACACTTATTGAATATATTATCTAGTGAACCATTACTATTCCACAACATGCATTTCTTATTCACACATATGTACTGGAACCAATTTTTTAAAAAGAAAACCCTATTTGTAAATCTATCAATCATATTTTAGCATTTATAATCATATCGTTATACTATTTTATGAAGATCATGGGTCGATCTAAGTTAAACAACCATTGAAAACTTGTATGCACTGGATGGCAATTTCATCGTAGTATGGAACTAATCAACAGTGCCGTCCAGTGCTTTGTGGTTTTCAATGGTTATCTAACTTAGATCAGTTCATGAGATCCCAATAAAACTTAGTAATCCCAACAATTAATCTAAATTTATTTGGGACAGATTTTTTGACCAGACTTTAACACATCAACCTTTATGATGGTCATGACGATGATCTGTCATTTCATAATGAAAATTAATCGATTATATTTTAGCATTGATTATTATATTTCTTGATTTTTTGTTGTTGGTTGAATAAACTTACTTTCGCATTCACCTGATAATAATGTGATCAAAAAATTTGATACGGCAGAGAATAGTAAAGTTTGACGATAACGTTTACCATAACCAGCTAAGTAACATAATCGAATACGTGCAGCTGATGCAAACACAGGAACAGTTGGACGTTGATTGAGTAAAGAGACAATCTGTTGTACAGTAGCCCAATTTTGCATTAATAACATTTCAGCTTGATCGATAATCAACAATTCGATAGATGCTATGATATATTGAACATCAGCTTCTTTCTCTCTAATATATTATGGAATATGTGTAAATTAGTAAACATACAAACAAGAAAATGATAACAAATGAAAAGTTTCTGGCTACAACTATGACTGAGTAATAAGTAGTTTACTGTTAAAAAAGTTAACGAGTTCTAGATAGTGATAGGATCATAAAATATGATAAGTAACTATGAATACAATAAATGAATTACTCAAGATATGGTTATACATGCAAATAGTGAATGGAAAAATCAATCTAACTCAATGATCAGTTATATCGTTGTATTGCACAGTGTAGAGTAAATTTGCTGTGCAGAGAAACAATGACATTGTCCAAGTGCTCAGATAGACAAAGAAATTTAATAGATTTAAACTTTTATCTCAATATTTGAGAATTCTCATGTGTTTATTGTGTTACATTCAAACAAAACAAGTTACAAAAACGATCATCATGTGATATGAGACAAAACTAAAATCAATACCATTTATAAAAATATTACAATACTATAAAATGTTGCACTCAGGATCATGTTACCATTTGCTTAGTAACCGCTTTTCAACTGTAGTGTAAACAGTCTCAAGAGTATCAAGTGATTCCGATCGCATCACTGAAACTACATTTATATAGAAATAAACTATAACCAGCGCAAACGACTAACATCAGTTCATTTAATCTAGGTCTAGTCCCTCACAAAGTTTTCATACTTCATTGAAACAATAGCACAAAATATTCTTATTTTGAAGATACATGATCAATGTTTTAGTAACCTTTAAAGATTGTTAGTAGTTTTACTAACATTAGATTACCATTTCACCATAAGTGGCTCAAATAAACTGGGGCAGTTGAAAGTTTGTAGATTCAGCTCCTGGTGTCATATCAGATATTACATTCCATGTTTAGAGATTGCGAAATGATCTGAAGGAAATAACGGACACTTCTGTACTTCCTGTCCACTAGAATGAACTGATTTTAAAGCACTTGTAAATACTTAACGTTTATAAGCAGGATCCTGTATAGATACTTTAGGAAGAGCGGTAGTTACATGTACACTTATACCATCAGGAGCTGATTAGATTATAACTTCATCGGTTCAAGTATCAGAGACAAAGAACGCAGGCTAGATAGTATTTTGGTGATGAGTATGCTGGATATTCATAATACCTAGTTTTGTACGTTTCATCTGATATTGTGAACAGAAATTGATCATGTCAATAAGGTACAACTGTAATTGCTTTCAATTTATATATCATTCAATAATGCCAATTTCCCTCCATATTTAATCTTGACTTTATTCGAATTAACTAGTCTAAGAGTGAAGAGATAACTGTTAAAGGGGATTTAAACTAACTGATGTGAATTAGACTTCAGGACTACGCATTTATGAAACTTGTTACCAATATTCCTAGTGATTAACATGAAGAACACATTTCTTAACATTTCCATGATTCTTAAAGGCCAGATAACAACCGAGATCAAAACCTCTCATCTCATTATGAATTCAAAAGACAATGTAGTATGACACAAGGCAAAGATTGACATCTATTTCAGAAAAAGTCTAGAGTAGTGGAGATTAATATGTTTTGAAGATGATTTTAAAGTTATTGTGTTCTCTAACCAATGTAGCAAAAAACTGGATTCTTTTACCGTATTTATGGGTATCATCAGAACATACTTAAGAAAGATATGAGAAGTACACCAAATGGTCTAATTGAATAAAAGATAAGTTACGTAAGTGCTTGAAATACAACAAGCACTATATCACACACATACACACACACAAAATAAACTATTGAAGGATAACATAAAGCAATACAACAGAAAAAAAATCCTTACACTTCATCATCGATAACAGTTTTAATTCCCAAAGGAGAAGCTAAAATTATATCGGAATCACGGAATGCAGAATACAATTTTACAGACTTTTTAGAAAATGCCATACCAATACGAAAATTGTCACTTGAATTACCTAATAAATTATTTTGAAAAAAAGGTGTAAAGTAATCAAAAGTTACATAATCTACAATGAAAAATATTCACTTGCAAATTCACTTCTGCTTACATTATTTATATACCTAATAACCTTTTTACGATAGAAGTGTGATGAACGAAGTCTTGGATAGTAAATCAATTTACTGTATTATGCAAAACTACACATTTTGTAAAATATGAAATCAATATATTAAATGCATTATTTCCCTATTTTCCTTGAGTTGTACCTTCCATTCCTGTTGTTATTTCGATTGCTTTCTGTTTCCCTTTCTCTTCTCTTTATTTTCCCATTCTGTTTATAAGAATTCTATTTTCAATTTCTGTTACATACTACTTAAAACTGTCAGTACAAGTAGTACAAACCACAGTAGGATTATCCAATTACATAAAACATTGCCCAATGTTATTGTAGAATATCTATGATCAAACATAATCTAATGTAGCATAGATGTTAATTTTACAAAATGTTCTGTATGATTCAGTAGAAAATATTAAAATCTCATATCTACACATAATATGAAACAAAACATTCAGATGATAATATTTTACTTCAAAGACTTAAGGCGATTACTCGCTTACGAACATGTAACAAAGAGCGACTTTTTATGTAGAATTTAGTTAAGGGTACAACAACTTGTAATGCTACTCACTCCTTGTCTTAAGTAGTAGTGCGAACAGGAAAAAGTAGCTGAAAATTGTACTTAATATGATGAGAAGATATCACATGTATGATACATTTTAAAGAGTAGATTTACTTAAGGCTTTTACATAGCAACTTTTTTCAAGATCTGACATGCAAAGGATATTCGTGAACTCAACACGTTTGTATAGCAGAATTACCTGTATTCAATCTACATGAGATGGGAAATATTTACAATTTAAACTGTGCACAATTATCTATATGTATTTAATTAACTTCAGGTCCTTAAAAGGAAATCAACACTACAAACCCAACCTTACATCACTGTTACTTCTGTCATTTACCTTACACCTAATGACACAGTCTAATAGGCAAAAACATCTAGTTATAACATCCGTAACATGTTAACACTAGTGAATCGGTCTTATTTGATATCTCTCTATAAGAATTACTTTACTAGTAAATTTTCGAAATACTGGAACAATTTGCCGCAAACTGTTCATGAAAAAAAATCATTCCCATTATTTTTTCATTGTATCGATGGTTACTTTTCTGGAATTGACTTAAGTAAGTTTACACCTTGAAATATATCACATTCCACTAGTGAAATTATACGAACATTAAATGTTCAATCATTATCATTACGAAGTCCATTCATTAAATTTCTATTCCTGTTGATGTTTTACACTTCGTCCCAAGCAAACTTAACTAATTTAAATAGTATTTATCCCGAACAGTAGATCATAAAACAACTTGGCACATGAATAACGGTAGAACTATTATAGTAATTATTCCTGTTGTTGTCCTGTGCTTTCTGTTTCCGTTTTATTTTCTCGAATTGTAGATGATTATAATTACTTTGTAATGGTACTGGAAACGACCATGGATACACTGTTTATGTAACAATGGGATGTCCTAGTCCCCTTACAAAGAATTAATGTGTTAGTAAGTCATAGATTGGAGTGATACATGTTCCATGCAGGATGATGTTGGTGCACGCTAACTGACCCATTTTTAGGCAATCAGAGCCAGAAGATGCATGAAGATTCTAAAATATTCATATGTACAAATTATAGATCCGAAAACGGTTTTCGTGTTGTAACTACTATTTCCAATCAACTTTGTTCATTTGGAATGTAATTCCATTCCTGATCAACCGTGTTCTGATGTGGGTACTAGTTCAGTGGTATCCGAAAAATACTGAGTAATAAGAGTAGCTGGATCGGTTAATGAAGGAATTAACGTAATAATTACCCGATAATGCCTCACATTGTTGTAATCCATGTTTTAAAAAAATGTACTTCATGGACAATTTTTGAACTATAACACTTCAAACAACCTAAAATCATAAATCTGTGTTTTATATGGAGCATTACTACTTGAATCGACCTAACTACGCCTGTGGTTCGGTAGGCATTCTGTAAACATTTTCAGAACATATTATTATTTCTTGAATGGTTATTTTATTTGGTTATTTACCCGGTACTATAAAGCATCTGTAATGAAACAGACTTCTTTATTCGGATGTCTTTTTCAAAGTGCCGTAAAGTCATAAGATAGGATCAAATTTCAGAAGAACTTAGAAGTGCGTTTATTTCAAATTTGACCAACGATCAACACTGTCTAAAACATACTCAAAATATAACTGAGTCACAGGACAAATAGATCCCTAAATGATTAGTCTAAAGGTCAATCGTCATGATTTTCCAATAACATTCAAATGCTGATAACTTCGTATTTACGAAAATTATATAACAGAAACTTGCCACTGAACCATTCTTCATAATCTTTAGGTTTTCTTCCCTTTTTCTTCTCTTTGTCAGTATCTCCAGGTTGTGGACCAAAATCTCGTTCAAAACGACGTCGGTGACTTACTGTGGAGCCTTTAGGCATTAAATGGAAAAATGTATGAACTATTCGCCTAGCCGCTTCTTTAGTTGGTGCTAAAATAAGAGTACGTGCCCGGTGAAATCCTTGATCTCGTAAAGAACTAGAAATAGATTCATTTTAAATAGAATAGAAGAAATTGAGAGGAATGATGAATAAAAACCACTGGATATTTAATATGCAACAAAGAATTAAGAATAAAGTAGTCTTAAATAGAGTAATTTATATTGATGGAGGTCATACCCTCCTTAGTTATTATTCTGCGTTTTGATGGGCACGACAAATTATGATCTAGTTCATTTACACTCACTTTGATTGTTTAGAACAATCACATTTGTAACCGTACTGATTGTAATCGAGAAGTGTGACTTTCAAAAAACATTTTAATTCGCATGGATTGATCGGATAAAAATAGAGCAGGTTCATTATATTTTCTCTTACAGTATTAATGATAAACATATTTTTAAGCAGTCCTGGAACAGTTCAAAAGTAAGTAAGATTTTAGTACTTCAGAATTGAACATCAAATAGCATAATAAACAACTGGTTGAACATATTCTAGTATTTGTAAAGGGATGACTTATAAGTTGGATTATTAATTATTTGAACACACAATTATTGGTACAAGAGGGTACCAAATATATATGCGCACACAAAACAATGAGAATTCGAAGAGAAAAAAAGAAGGTAAGCAGCGTAAAAAAAAAGAACAATAACGACCAGATTAGTGTAAGGTGATGTATTAATAATAATAATAATAATAATAATAATAATAATAATAATAATAATAATAATAATAATAATAATAATAATAATAATAATAATAATAATAATAATAATAATAATAATAATAATAATAATAATAATAATAATAATAATAATAATAATAATAATAATAATAATAATAATAATAATAATAATAATAATAATAATAATAATAATAATAATAATAATAATAATAATAATAATAATAATAATAATAATAATAATAATAATAATAATAATAATATAATAATAATAATAATAATAATAATAATAATAATAATAATAATAATAATAATAATAATAATAATAATAATAATAATAATAATAATAATAATAATAATAATAATAATAATAATAATAATAATAATAATAATAATAATAATAATAATAATAATAATAATAATAATAATAATAATAATAATAATAATAATAATAATAATAATAATAATAATAATAATAATAATAATAATAATAATAATAATAATAATAATAATAATAATAATAATAATAATAATAATAATAATAATAATAATAATAATAATAATAATAATAATAATAATAATAATAATAATAATAATAATAATAATAATAATAATAATAATAATAATAAGGGAAACGGAAATGTATAACCAGACGAAATCCTTCAGTTAAGGAACATACAACCACTTCCTATGAAGAAAGTAAAAAGTTACAGAAGCTTCGCCACTGGCTTCTATTCTGAGCCATATCTGATAACGTCTCTAGCCACTGTATTGCACCATCTCTCGGACCCCAGCCAGGGAGTCGTGAAGGACCGACACAAGCCAGTCCTTTGTAGCCTTATTTCATACCACGACATTATGTCATACACTGACCACCACTCCGCCTTTTCCAACCAGTCCCAGAGTCGGCAAATAATGCACGACGTGGAATTCTCTTGGACGACATTCGTAGAACATGTCCAAGCCACCGAAGTCGGTGTTTAAAGATGGTGACACCAATTGAATTATCGTCTCTGTGCCCAAACACACGATGCTGAGCCTCTGCATTACTAACATGGTGTTGCCACTGGATGATAGCAATCCTTCGGAGACAACGATGATCAAACACAGAGAGTCGTCTAACGTCCTCAACTCGGAGAGGCCAGGTTTCACAAGCATAGAGCAAAACTGCTCTCATCAACGCGTTGTAGATCCGACCTTTTACAGCCAGACTAACATCACGAAGGCGCCAAAGATGGCCCAGATTGGCATAAGCCGCCCTAGCTTTCACTATACGTGAATTGATTTCATCACTCACGCCACCACCAGAACTTATGCACCTACCCAGATACACGAACTTCTCGACTACTTCTATCTGCTCACCATCCAGGGTGAGTACAGGATTAGAATCCTGCCAGTCTTGTAGAAGTACTTTACACTTAGAAGGTGCAAAGCACATACCATACCTACGGACACTGATCGCCAACTGATTAAGTGCGGATTGCATGCCTTGGGCATTATCGCACAGTAAGACAATATCGTCCGCATACTCAAGGTCGAGAAGTCTTTTTCCGGGCAGCAGATCCACATCGCTATCACTTACATCCATTAGAGCTGTTTCTTGAATGTTGTCGATGACAAAGTTGAAGAGGAATGGTGAGATTGGGCAACCCTGTCTAACCCCACTGCTTGAATAGAACAATGGAGAAAGGTGGTTGTATGCCCTCACTGAGCCTGAGGTGTTTTTATATAGGGCTTTTAGGATGTTAATAAACTTCGCAGGCACACCCTTCTTCAATAGGCAATCCCAGAGAACAGTCCTGTCCAACGAATCGAAGGCAGCCCTGATGTCAAGTATGACGGAAGCCAATAGCTTGGACGCAATCGGAAGTAGACTTATCCCCCGATAGTTGTTACAGGAACAACGTGAACCCTTTTTAAAGATAGGGACAACTATCGACTCATTCCATGACGTTGGTACTTTCTAGTTCCCAAACCTTTGTAAACAACGTCGTCAATTCCTTACTCAAAAAGTCACCACCATCTTTAAAGAGCCGCGGGTAAGTCATCTGGGCCAGGTGATTTGTAACGCTTCAAGAGTTGGAGTTCCTTGCGAACTTCCTCCTCCTTTGGTGGATCAGTCGTCACCGGCCATGGAGGGCAGGACAGTCTGCTCGATGTTGCCGGAGCATCAGGCCAGTTGAATTGTCCTTCGAAAAATTCTGCCCATCGTCCAAGACGTCGATGGATGTTAGTGATTGGTGTCTCGTCATCCTCACAGATTGTTTTGTTCACACCAGACTTCTTGCTGCCAGTGGCTCAAATGACTTGGAAGAGCTTCCGGTAATTACCAGATGCAGCTGCTGCTTCCAGCTCATTAGCATGCTTCGACCACCAGGCTTCTCGGTCCTTACGCAAGCTTTGCCCAATCTCATTAAGTAACATCCTTCGTTTGTGGTCAAACTCACGGTCAACTGGTGTTCACAGACAGGCTTCAATGAATTGTAAGGAACCAGAAGAAACCCAGTGCTCATAAGCGGGACGTTTCGTGAAGCGCAAAGCGGCTTTACTCGCCATTTTCACGGCGTCATGAAGTTGCAACTAATGCTCATTTATACTTTTCGGTGGAATGGTAGCTAGCCTAGAAGCTAGCTTGGTTCGATACTTACTAGCAACAGACGTTGCAAACAACTTGCTAACATCAATCCTTTGATAACGGTCACTTCGTTGGCCACTGAAAAGTAAAGTAAGTTTGACACAGACCAGGGCATGATCAGAGTCCAGATAAGTACTCTAAAAGGAGTGGCAGTCTTGTACACAACCACGCCAGCGGTAGCTGATCGCGATGTGATCACTCTGAGTCCAGTCTTGGGATGCCGAGGGAGGACGCCAGGTGGCACATTGCGATGACTGTGCCGGGAGTTAGTGCTGCCAGAAACAGGTTGTGGTCTGTGCATATTTGCAGTAGACGGACCCCGTTATCTGTCCTGCGAGCAACAAGTCCCCATCGGCCACCTAGACGACTCTCTTCTGTGCCTAGACCCCCGACCTGAACATTCAAGTCTCCGGCTAGTACTACAATATCTGTCGAACGCACTTTCTGGAGAAGAACAGATAACTGGTGGTAAAACTCATCCTTGATTGCATCCGGGCTGCAATCTGTCGGAGCATAGGCAGAGATGACGAAAAGACGTCGTTTCTCACGCCGATTTCTTCTCACTTTAATGGACGTTTCTAATCTAAAAGCACATTATTAACTGTTAATGGGGATCCAATCGATTAGTGCTGCCTCAGCTCTAGCGCTTGATGCGACACCAACACCAGAAAGACCAGATGAAGATGCCACAGGGTCCCCGGATAAGCGCACGTAAAACAAGCATTTTGAAGCGACAGATGGAAAGGGAATTTGTAGTACTTCACCAGAGTCTTGAATATAGGTTTCGGATAGACAACAAACGTCGAAATTAAGACTTTCCAAAGACATAGCCAGCCCTATCTGTTGTCCGACCTGCATAAGTGTGACAACGTTGAAGGCAGCCAGTTTGAATGGTGCACGTGGTTTCAGAAAAACTGCTTCAGTATTCGTATTTGGTGGTAGCATACTATTTTCAAGCAGGCAGTGACTCGAGAACGTTTAGATAGAACCGAGTTTCCACCATAGGCGAGCTGCTGTATAAGTCGAAAAATAAGGATACATAAAGTGGGAATAAAGGAGTGAATAAATGACGTAGTAAATAATAATAATAATAATAATAATAATAATAATAATAATAATAATAATAATAATAATAATAATGTGAATTGTTTGACTGTGAATCGAAGCGAGAATAGAATTTTGGTAAATATCGCCATTTTAATTTTACTTGTGTGGGCTGTGATACTGTCCGAGTGCCCAAACAGGTGGTTTTCTTAGGGGGCCACACCCCGAGCCTTGGACCTAAAGGTCTGATCCACAAGGCAGTGGAGCATCGTGAGGAGATGCAGTCCCATGGTAGCCGGTGACCAACGATTGGTTCTAACGCCATTCGTTCCCTCAGAATACTGGAGCCGATGTGCACCATTGGTTTGGGATCCGGTTAAAGCGCCGGACATTCGATTTTCGTCCTCTCATTTTCGTAGACAACACCCCCGCCACGAGAAGGCAGTGAGTAGGACTTCCCTGGCAGAGACTGTATACGCGTGGCCGTGTGAGAGCATTTCGAGACGGAGAGCGGATTACAAAAGAACAGTATAGTGTAATCGGTCTTGACTGTCCATCATCACAAAATACTGACTACGCAATCATTTATTTCTAACTGTAACGTCCATAGAGCAAACATCCGATAGTAGCTGCTGCATTGACGTGGTGGTCAGGCTTACCTACATTGATGATTCGACCGAACTATGTTGGCTGGAACATGTTCCTTTAGGTCCTGTCATGCCATCCAGGTTGGTTGGAGAACAGTAAGACTGAAAGTAGCAACTTAGGATCCGAGGGCTAAGTCGTTCTGCCGATTGTAGAGGGGTGTGACTGCAATAAGGTGTTTCTCTCGGACAACCAGCATTTGCAGCGAAGATGCCTTTACCCAACGGAGGGAAGGGGTTAGAAAAGGTCAATCCTAAATATGTCACACCTCACCTTAACCCACGGCATTAAGGCTTTTTGAAGTGCAGAGCTAACACATCAAAAACCTCCCATAAAAAGGCTGTGAGCGACCGGCCTCAAGCAGCTGTCCCTTGGACTCTGTGATCACGCTCCCAAGTCACTAAGATCACCACTAATCTCGCTTTCATCTCAGGTCCCTCAAGAAATATCCTCCCACGGTAGGGGCTACCGGGAAATGACAACTGCCTTCATACATCTACCGGCACCCGAGATCATCTTGTTGAAGATCAAATCACTCCCTCACCTCGGGTAGCTATAACCAGAGCTATCTGAGGGGTTACTATGTTGATAATTATTTGCTGCCTCCCATGGATTGTGTCCAGTTTAAGAACTAATTATGTAGGATTAAATAATAGCATGTTCGGTTATTATCTGTTTATGTACTAAGGCTTGATAAATGTGTTATGTCTTTATAGCCCGCTAGCTATCACGTGATTTATCCACCAATCGAAATAAGGCTATACGATCTTCACACTGTGCTAAACCAATGACATTTGACCGGTATGAACAACTTAGCGTCCTTATTGGTCCCTTGTTCGCCTAACCCGTCTAGTTGAGTTCAGAATACCAATACAGCTTCCATTATGCGAATAATTTATTGCAGACATACTTGGTTTATATATCAATCAAACAGACCACAAAACACCATAAAAGAGGAGATAACGTTTATACACAATAAAGCCAAAATGTGGCCGTGAACGTGGGAAACAGCAATCAATAAACTGAGTATAACTTAAGAACAGTAAACCGTACAATAACAATCTATAGTTCAAAACGAAGTTTACAATAAGATGAATATAAATATACACAATTTAATTACTGAATAGTTATACTATAAGAATATATAGATAATATTGGTCAATTAACACGTCTCAGAAGTTACTCGTGATTTAATCTTCGTTAGGATATAACAAAATGAGGTTCTAAATTCTCTGGAATTAAGTAACATGAGGTGGTAAAATATTTGACAAAACAATCAGTGGGATATCAGTAGCTATGTCATTCACAACGGCTGTGACGAACAATCAACGCTTTTCGATTGCTTCGTAAATGATTATACCGATCATTCTTACTATTGTTACACTCTCCCGTTTTTGTTTTTGTAATATTATACTTGTTTGTGGGACACATATATCCTGGCACATACGTTGCCCGAAGTGACAAGATGGGCAGAATTAATTTACTCATCTCACATAATGCACAAAAACGTGTATACAAAGAGTATATGAATACAAAGTAATTTAAATTTAAATTGATATACGATGATAAATATTTTATGAAGTACAAGTAGATGGATAACTCACTCAGATGCACCGAATTGTTTTTCTTTTTCATTATTCTTCGATACAAGCGTTTGACACCTATATTAACGAATTTTTTCCATTTCTACTCAGAAGAATGACCTACTTAAGCGAATGATTTAAAGCATGAGAACAGTACAGCAGACGTATTGATTCGTTTTCAGGTGTACGACGGCAATAAAATACATCCTAGATTTATGAATAGAATACACTTCTTGTAGAAGAGATAACTACCTCATAATTTGTTACCATTTTGTATAAAATAAAATCCTCTGCTTTGATATCTGGTTCGATTGGCTAAAATTAATCAGTAACTGTTATACACATTGATAAGCTTACTAACATTCTTTGTACTGAGAAACGGAAACATTTTACGGTCAGCACTTGATTTATACCATCCTATATGCGGATTCTGAAAAACATATTGCTTTTATGTGATTATTTACTTACTACAGCAATAGTTACTTCTGGACATCGTTGATCTTTTACTTGTTCATAAGGTATAGAAAAATGACGCGAAAAGGAAGAGGCTAGTTTATATGAAAAGTTAAAAAGCTTAATAACTAACCATTTAGTGGAGTAACAACTGTTGCTTCCATATTATATTAGAGATTATCACTGTCATAAAGATATCAGAGCCTTTAAATGAAAAGTATCGATAAAATAAATTATTCATCTAAGATAAATTTTATGAAAATTAAATCAGTTATTTCATCCAAAAATATAGAATATGAAGATAATCAGTGAAAGGTTTCAGTAAGACATTCGTTACAAGTGAAGTCATGTTCCGGCACTTTTAACGGTTAGCAATAAATAAAATCTATTTCAATGAACAGAACTACCTATATACAATACGAGCCTGTGATTGTTTTCATGCACCTCTAAATGCTCAACTTCGTACATTTACATTGCAAAACAAGTTACACATATACACGTAATCGATGGCCAATCACTGGCTGTTTATCCCTCCAAAAAAGGTATATAAAATAGACCAAGACACGCACAAAACAATGAAAGATAATTTTGTGATGAGGCAGGATAGGGGAAGGGAATTACAAAGAGGTATAAGAACTGAGGGAAGATATATTTCAAACTCAAAAACAACAGAGACCGGTTACGTTTCTTTTAAAGTAACATCCTACCGTTCAGAAAATACAAGACAATTGCAGAATAGTAACCATACTGAGATGGTGGAGAAGATTTGTAGCTCAGGTGGATGATTTTGGTGGAGTTTTGTTCTCTGAGCTGGATGGTTTGGTCGTGGAGCTTTCATCGTTCTTCTGAACGACATCATCAGCACAAACTTCAAATAGAAGTGAAGTGTTAGAATTTCTCCATATGTGTTTCACAGCTTGTTCTGTGCACCTCGATGTTGATTGGTTCTTGTTGACCTTAAATTTATCATTGTTTACTTCTTTGTTTTGGTTGTGTCTTCCATTGGTTTGATTTTCGTTCCTATATTTATGCATGATTTTTCTGATTGGTTGATAAATTGGATTGATTTCAATATGTTTGTTGATTGCTGATTGACCTGAGTGCCACGGTAATTATCAAACCTCATCATCCAAACTACTTTTTCATATTTCTTGTATCAAACTTCTTTTAGCTCCAACACCCTTACTTGAAATTAGTGCACGCGACTCGAGATTATAGTATTGGAGTCAATTGCGATCAAACATTATTATAAAATCTTAATCCTGAGGTAGTTTCACATACATATTCGGCAGAACTCATACAGCTGCGATTAAATAGCATAAATCCCATAATTGGCTAAAACTAATCTCGAATTATCACCTTAGAAAACGATTGGCAGTTCTAAAAAGGTGAGTTGGAATTTCTGACTGAATACAAAGCTACAAAAGTATGTCGAGACTTTTTTCTATCAGAAATCGCCCAGGACACAGTTCGATATAGAATGATGGTGGGTGGCCTATGCTCCTCCACGAAGGGTGATAGGCGTAAGTTTCTATCAGAAAGGTAGTTAACACTGCGTTTTAAAAACGATCTCTAAAACTCTAGCAAAGTGAATGTTATGAAGCCTAAGACTCCGCATATAGTCTACGGATGTAAACTCTTAAGTTCTTGTGACAGCTCTCTGCTTATAATTAAGCACCAACCCAAGCATGGAAGACCATAAAGTGTCATGGAACGTTAAAATAATGGCAGTTGTATAAAGTCGGGTATAAATCCACCTAAGACACTAAACACCTTAGCGCCGACCAAGTCAACTAATAACTGTGTTATGCACTATACAAACACAAAGACTTAATGGGACTTACGCTTACCTTTGTTTTCAAAACACATGCAAGCTAGTTATTATAGATGGCACATCCCCAATTTACGAAGTTCCCTCCGTTTCAGAATTTAGGTAAACTAACCACCAGTCTAGAATCTGCAGAATTCTGAATCATGGGTTAATAAACGGTGCTTTGTTTAGGATAAAAAGATAATTCATACAAGTTAAAAGTAGGCTAGTATATTTCATAATCTTGGAGCTTACAAAGCTGTACATCTTTGATGGACAAATGATGCAATGCTACGAAAAAGGTCGGAAAATATGATAGCAGTTATTTTTTATCATATGGCAAACGTAATACTAACAACAAACAGATATTTCAAAACATCTAGTTTCCATATGTACTAAACAACCTGAGATCTTCAAACTTACATCTACCATATCAAATACAAATATAAATTACAATGAGGCAAATCAATGCAGATATAATATACTGTTGATGAAAACACAAATGTAATCAACAACTCATACTACACGAGGATTAGTAGCGCATACGTCTAATATTGCGCAGCTTCAAATGGTTCAAATGGTTGTGGACGGAATAGAAGAAGCTTTCGCTTAACAGGCTTCCGTGTCTAGTAGCAGGGGATCACCAAATCCTCCAGGCATGAACCTAGGTATGCTAACAATAAAAGATGAAAAGAAATTGGTAAATCATAGTATGATACTGTCTTTGGTCCTTAAGAATAGGTCAAGTTGCCTCTTGAAGGACTCCTGAGAAGTCGCTTGGACTAGCTCAGCGGGCAGCGAATTCCAGCTTTTGACAACTCTTAAGGAGTAGAAGTTGTGTCTACATCCCGTCTTGCTATATTGAGTTTCCAGTTTCTGGGTGTTACCCCTTAGGTTATTATTCGAACTAAGCTTGAGTAGGTGTTTAAGAGGATGTCCAGAAGTGTTAAGAATACTATAAGCCATTAATAAATCACCTCTAAGACGCCTATACTCTAATGGGTAAAGGTCTAGTGAATGGAGGCGTTCTTCGTAAGGCTTAGATTTGAGTCCGCGAACTGATTTCGTGGCTCGCCGTTGGATACGCTCCAAAGTGATCTTGTCCTTTTGGAGTGAGGGGGTGAGTACTATATTTCCGTACTCTAAATGGGGACGGATAAAACTATTGAAGATTGTATGGAAAGTTCTTCCGTCAAACTGGCCAAAAATGCGCTTCAATGTTACCAGTGCAAGGTTAGCTCGGAAGGCATTTTTGTCACAATTAGCGTAAGACTTTAAATCATGGGGCACCAGGACTCCTAAATCTTTTTCGACTTGGGATACTACTAGAGAGGAATTTCTTAAGTTATAACTGTAGTCTGCGACATGTCGCAGATGGACTACTTTACACTTTGAAGTGTTAAACGTAAGTCCGTTATCGTCTGCCCAACTTTGAAGTCGAGTCAGGTCCTCCTGAAGTGCCTGTGTATCGTCTTGGTTGCGTATCTCTCTCCAAAGTTTCACGTCATCGGCAAAAAGTAGTAAGTCTGACGTTACCTGTTGAGGAAGATCGTTTATGTAGATCAAGAAGAGGAGAGGCCCTAATACTGAGCCCTGGGGAACCCCACTAGGACATTCCATAGCCTGAGATAAAGTGAAATTAACCCTAACCTTAAAGTGTCGATTTTCTAGGTATGAAGTAAGCCAATCGATTAGAGGTGGTTTGATACCTAGTCGTTTGAGCTTGTTGATAAGACACAAGTGGTTAACTTTATCAAAAGCTTTTGAGAAGTCAAGGTATATGATATCAACCTTTCCCTTGCGATCGAGGATGCTTGTCCATCTGTCCACCGCAGTCAGCAGGTTGGTTATACAAGAGTAACCCTTCCTGAAACCATGCTGTTGGGGTGAGAAGAAGTTTAAGGACAGTAGATAATCGTTTAAACCATCGCATATCAGGGACTCCATGAGTTTTGAAATTAATGACAGAAGAGCCACAGGCCGATAACTTGAAGGTTCATTGCGTCGACCCCCTTTGAAAATTGGTGTGATGTGAGCCAACTTCCAATTTTCCGGTAATTTGCCTTGGCTTAGCGAGTGTGAAAACATCACGCTAAGCGGCGTTGCCAGGATTGAGGCTGCCTCCTTCAGTATGGCAGAATGAACCATATCCGGGCCAGGAGAAGTATCTAGTCTTAAGTGCTGCAGTTTCCGGAACACCAAGTCAGCGCTTAGATCCACTTCGGAAAGCCCTGTGGAATTACAGGTGAAACTGTCGTCAATAGAGTTGATGTCAGCCGGCTGAAATGTTTGAGAGTAGTGTGCCGCCAGAAGGTTAGCGGCGTCACCATCGTTGTTGGTTGGGCCATTAAGACCTAGCAGTTGAGAAACTCCTGTTTTGGCTTGACGAAGAGAGGCTGCATAACGGAATAGGCTTCTAGGGTTCGAGGCAAATTTGTCCATAAGCTTTGTCTGATAATGAAGCCTGTCTTCTCTTATAGCCTTCGTGCATATGTTCCTGATATGTTTGAATTGCCTATACGCTCCGTCGTTGTCAGTTCGTTTGTATTCCGCCCAACAGTGTCTTTTACGGCTTAGCAGGCGAAGGGTACGGTTCTTGATTATTGTAGGTGGCTTACAGCTTTTGGGAACCGTTTGGGGAACTGAATGGTTTGTAGCACATAAGAGCGTGTGCAGTAAGAAGTTCCAGTGACCGTCCACATCGAGTTGGGGGTGAACATCCCAAACCACCTGTTGTAAATAGTCGTGAAGAGCTGGCACATTCAGCCGTTTAAAATTCCAACGCAAGTTATTGTTGGGATACCTTAGCTTAGTTTTGGTGACAAAACTGAAGGCTATGACGGCATGATCGCTCTTTCCCAGAGGAGCCAAGATTGAGAGGTTGTCAACTAGGAATTCTTCGTTTGTGAATACACAGTCTAACCGCGATGGTGTCTGACTGTTTCTCCAACGAGTTGCCGACCTGACATTTTCATATAAGCCCAAGTCATCAATGAGGTTGAAGAACCGAGCTTCAATTGAGTTGTCACCTCCAGTATACGTGTGCTCCACGAAGTTGACTCTAGGAAGGTTAAAGTCCCCTAGAATCAGGATATGTGTGAAACCGAGACGGGTAGAGCGGGATAGACCATCCAGCATACGACTATCGTACTCGATGTCAGCAGTTGGCTTCCTGTAAATGACACCGACTAGACACCTCGAAGTGCTAGACAATCTTACAGAGCACCATATGGATTCCTCAAGATTGTTAAACTCGAGGTTGTGAACTTGGTGCACCTCCAAGCAAGAGCTTATGTAAATGGCTACTCCACCCCCAATTCCTGTTGTTCTGTCGTTGCGGAACAAAGTCATCCC